CGTATTTTAATACTTTAAGGTATAGATTATACTCCTATAGTCGTTATAGTACTAATCTAACTTTCTCTATATAGTCTCTTTAATCTTCTTTTATAAAGATAAGGATATTATCTAAGTAGACTATTATAAATATATCTAGATATTCGCGTAGTATATTATTAATAAATACTTGGAATATTACTAGTATATTAGTTAATCTAAAAGGTATAACCTAGTATTTATAGAGTCTAAATCTTATTCTAAATATAGTCTTCTATTCTTTTCCTTCCTTGATTTGTATTCAATAGTATACTTCTTATATATTTAGTACTATAAACTATGTGGTTCCCTTAAGTTAATTCTATATCTTATTAATTAGTAGTAAGGGGTATTAGTTTTTAATTATAATATTATTTAGTTATCTATAGTCTACGCATAGTTATAAACTTCTATCTTTCTTTAGTATAAAGATAATTAGATATTCTACTAGTAATATTAATTTATATATATATCCCTTTTTTAAGTTCTTATTAATATATTGCTATAACTTCTTAAATTCAATCTCTATTAACCTATATATAGGTTTATATATAGGCTCTATACCTTTCTTTAAAGGTATCTTATAATTCTATACTTAATATTCTAGCAAGCTTTCCGATAGTTCTTATTCTCTAAATACTTCTATTATATTATAGTATTCCTAGGGTATCTATTATTATAACTTATCTAATTTAGTAGTATTCTACTCTTGGCGAATTATTCTCTACTCTTCTTTTATTATTGATTAATTATTTATAGTTCTCGTAGTTCCTATTTTAATTTAGGATACTATGCCTAGTATCTGACCTTAATTCTTATCTCCGTTATAGGTAGCTGCTAAGGTATTAGTCTTCTAGTTAGAGCGGCGTCTTCTACTATCTAATTATAATATGCCGTCTCTCTAGTTTATAGTTAAATTATATTTTTATAGCTAAAGGAGTCCTAAAATAATATTATATTCTCCTAAGCTAGTTATATTAAAGTACTCTATTCCCTTATATTATCCTCTAATATATACCTTTATACTAGTAGTTTCCTTATTTATAATATTAGCCTATTCTCTATTTAGCCTATTAAGCTAGTATAGTTCTTTCTTTTTATATATAGCTATCTCTAACTCCTTTATATATCGTGAGTTAATAAAGTTCCTAGTAGCTCTAGAATTAATAAGAGCTTGTGTATATTTCTTTACTAATTTTACCACTATTATTAGGTGATTTCCTACAATTGCCGCTAGACTCAGCCTATTTTTTAATATCTATTAACCTTCTATTATTATTTAGGTATCTTAATTATAAGTCTATTATTTCTAAATTTATTTAATAGATTTATATATTTTATTCTATTCGTCTTCGCTTAATAAGTTTTCTTTACTAGATAAACTCTTAAGGCTTACTTCCTATTATATTTATACTACTAGTTCTTACTATTACTTCTATAGTTATAACTATACTTATAGTAATCTAGTAGTATTAAGCTAGTATTATATTATCGTATTACTAGTAAATTCTACTATATATTCTTAGTATAGAACTTTTACTTTTTATTTTTTTTTCTAGTATCGAATCTCCAAATATTTATATAGTGTGATATTTTCTTTATCTATTATACTAATACTTTTTCTATTAATCTATCCCTAATACTTATTATATACTAGATACTTATTATCTTTATAGTACCTCTAGTGGATATCTTTATTATTTTTATATCCTGGGTATTATAGGTAGTTATTATAGTAAAGTTTTCTTCTATACTTCTATATTTTTTTAAATATATAATATTTATAATAATAATTCTAGTTATATTCGTCGTAGTATAGATAAGCTAGATTAGAGACCTCTCTTTACTTTTTCATATTATATATAAAGCAAATGCCCTTTTATTTACATACTATCTAATATTCTTCTCCTAAGTTATTTATATATTCCTTAAGGCTATCTTTGGTTCGTGATTCCTCCTCAATTCGTAGTAATACGTTTTCCTATTCGTGGTTTTCTTATTCTAACTTAGGTGTTTCTTAATTATCCTCGGATTCCGTATCTTCCTCTAAGTCAGTTCATTCTAGGGTTATAATTCCTTGATTAGATCCTATCGTTAAGTCGTATTCTTAATTAGTAGATAGGGTATCTCTTTAACTTTATTCCCTCCTATATCTTTCTAGATATCTCTATTCTTATTCTAACGTCGCATTTTATTTTTATAATATTGGCTTATTTCTAGGTATAATCTATTTATTAGATTTACTCTATTAGCTTTCTATTTGCTAGTAGTTAGCCTTATAATTACTATCTAAGTTCTAATCTAGTACTTATAAGTATATTCTTACTATTATATATAGATATCTCTTAGTGTTTTAGTAGTATATATCCTGCTAGCTACTAGTTTTAGATATAGTAGTAGTATTTAGGCTTTTCCCTATATCTCCTTACTTTTTTTTATAGTCCTTTATTTAGTGTCTAGGTTTCTTATAATAGAAATATAACTTCTATTATTAGTATCTTATATTCCTTTTTTTTATTATAGGGTTTCTTTCTAGTAGTATTAAGTTCTATTAGTATTAGTCTATAATTATCTTTCTTATTTGTGCTTCGTTAATTTATTTCTTTCTAAAAGGTTACTTTTCCTTATTATAGGTTTTGTAAGTTATATAATTAATTATCTAATTATATTACTATTTTAACTATTTTACTATAGTTTATATAGGGTCCTATTTTAATTATCTTATATTAAGTCTCTAACTTAAGTCCTTACTCAAATATAGCTATCTTTCTATTATTATTATGGATCTCAAGTTCCTAGTATAATTACTATAGTTATACTATAAACTAAGCTATATCCTTAATCTATTATAGACTAGTAAGTTTTCTTTTAAGTATTTATTTATATTTCGTATCTCTAAAGAACTATCTAATTATAGTCTTAAAATTTAGGTAACTTTTTAAAACTTTAGTATAAACCTTGGGTTATTCTTAAGTATTAATTTAGTCTTCTAGTATAGGTTTAAACTATATAGCTGCGGTATTTTATAAGTATAATTTAGTAAAGATTACCTTCTTAACTTTAGTAAGTTCTACTTTAGTAGCTAGATAAATATTATATTTACTTAAGAAGTACTCTAGCTTATATTATTCTCCTTTAAAGGTATTAGGTATCCTAATTTTAACTAATACTCTTATATTTTTAGTTTATACTTTTAAAACTCGAATTTTATCTAATATTCCCTTAATCTATATCTTATACTACTTAATATTATCCTTATAATCTTAGTTATTAACTTTCTTCTCTAGTATATTAATTTACTACTTAAGTTAAGTCAAGATATAGTTAGAGTTAGTAATATATCCGCTTATAGTAGATATATTAGCTTTTTATTATTTAGATAATATATCCTAGTTAGTTCTTTAAATATTTGGGGTAGGGATATATATACCTATTATTCCTTTTAGATATTTGGCTAATCGGGGTTATAATTATATTTACTATAAGTATTAACTAGTCTTTTAGCTATATACTTTTCTCTAATTAGGGTAACTATATTGAGTTAGAATTAATTATATTAGGTGCCTATAACTATAGGTGTAGGAAGATTAATACTATAGAGCGGCTTAATTTATAGATACTAAAGGAAGATCAATACTATAAAGGGTAGGCTTCTCTTATAGGGATAAGGGAGGCGTCTTAAGGAAAGGTATAACTTAAGGTATTCTATAGATAGATTAGAGTATAAATAGTACTTATTTACTATAGGGAGGATACTCCGATATCTAACTTCAAGGTAATAACTTTAAATCTAGCTTAGTATATATATACTCTCTAAGGTCCTTATAAGTAATGAAGCTAGTATACTAGTTAAGTCTAGTATAAAGATATTAAGGGATATTAGATAGATAAAGGGAAGTATATATATATTAACTAGTACTATAAAGCTATAGCTTACTATAAAGTTAGCTTTAATCTTAAGTATTAGAAGATAACTTAAAATTAAGTGGGCGATAAGTGCCCTTATATATATATACTATATTAGGTCCCTCATCCTCTATATATACTATAGTAGTACTATCTACTACTATCCTTCCTTAGTGCTATATAGTACTACCTATTATAGTACTATCATAGTACTATCGTGGTTTAGTACTAGTGGTACTATTTGGTGCTCTTAGTATTTGGCACTATCTAGTATCACGTGATCCGCAGGGTTCTTCCGTGCCGGAACCTTATTTGTCCAATAAATGTATTTATCTGGGCTGCGCCGCAGATGGTCTGTAACAGTCTTGGGTAGGTTTAAAAGAGCTCCCTTAGGTGATGGTTCTTGGCGGGTAAAACCTATTAGACCCTAATAACCACCCAACCCACCTATATAGAAGTCTAGGAGAGGCCTAAGTATATTATAGTCTTCTATAAGAACTAGGGTAATAGGGACCTCCTAATATTAAATAGAAGTCTAGATTACGAAGCCCTACTTATAATGAATAAGGGGGTAAAGAGCCTAACTAAGTAGTAGCTAAAGTAGGGTATTCTAGAATAGTTTACCCTAGCTAACTCTCTTATTAGTAATAGTATCTAATCTCTCTAGATATAAGAGTTAAGGAAGAGTAGGAAGGTAAAAGGAAGATAAAAATAATCTAGTAAGTTACTTAGACGTGTTCCCGTATAGTTAGCTAGTAGCCAAACGGTGTAGAGAAATTTATTTATTTATATATAAAGCTAACTTAGCTATAATGTCAGACGTAATTCTTGAGTTAACGTTAATATATCCTATTATATATATAAGCTATCAATAAATGCTGTATCTGCTACCCACGTACAAAGAATTGCTGGATTCAGGATTCAATACATACGGATCACCATTTTTGGATTGCTACGTGAATACTAAATACTATCGAGCTAGTCAATATGAGAACACCCGCAGCGGAACGGAATATATTCCCTCCTGTGGCCGACACTTGTCAATCTAAGGCGTGATTGTGCAATTCGACTTGAGATTACGCCTCGGTAGGATTGTTGTGCGCATTCTTCAGATTCTCGATATCCTCCTTAGAAAGCGGCTTGCCCATCCATGATGCATCAGACACTGCTGCTCTGCGACGAGGGGTGGTCCTGATGCCTCTTAGCCTTCTGGTAATCGCGTTGAGATCTACACGGAGATATCCTGCGAGGAAGTTTCCGATCTCCGTATTTTCATGGGTGCCTACAAGAGAACTGGCATCGTTCCGAGAAGAGGCATAGATGTTGACGTTGGCAGCTAATGATATCCGGCATTAGTCGTGTCCTCATAGTAAATATAATACTAGGGAATGTGGAGAGAAAAGCACTTACGGGTGTGACCACCAGTCGTCCACCCAACTTGGGCCCTTTGGCTAATCAATTTAGCAAAACCTTCTTCTCCGTTACGGGCAACAGAGTCAATTTCTCGGTCAGACGCATCGTGGATTCCAAGGCCCTCCTCAACCAACTGGTGGGCAACGTCACGACCACCACCATAGCTTTCCAAGACTTTCCCGAGATACTCAGCTGAGTGAGAAGCGTTGCCGAGAATATTTGGGCGCGCTCTGCCGGCAGACAATCCACCAGTTTCGTGGTCCGAGGTGCTGATAAGTATTCCAGGCGTGGAGTCTTTCTCGAGGAATTCCAAAACGGCAGCAAAGGCTCTGTCAAACGCAACGACTTCGTGGACTTGGGCAGCAGGGTCATTTCCGTGGCCGGCGTGGTCAATACGGGAACCTTCAATCATGATGAAGAACCCCTGGTCGCTATTACGAGTGGCATCGCTTAGGGCCTTGAGTGCAGTGCGGGTCATCTCTTCAAGAGAAGGATATACATCATTCTGGTATCGGCGGTCAATCTCGAAGGGAATGTTGCCATCGGCGAAGAGTCCAATAAGAGGGAGTTTGGCGGAAGCTCCTCCATTCAAGCCGTCAAATCCCCTGCGATCGCCAACATAGGAAAAGCCCTTTGACTGGGCGAGCCTGATAATGTCCTTGTTGTCGTCGCGGCAACCTCCATTGCGGCCTGGAAGGAAATGGCATCTCCCTCCTCCAAGAAGAAGGTCAAGCTGACGGCCTAATGGGTGTTCTCCAATTTCCTGCTCTGCAATCAAATCCTCGTAGGAGCGCGAGTTAGCATGCGCAGCGAAGACCGCAGGAGTTGCGTCGGTGATCCTGGTAGTAGCAACCAAGCCAGTTTTATACCCGGCCGCCTTTGCACCCTCCAGAACAGTCCCACAGGGTGTACCGTCGGGGAGGACGGCAATTGCACCATTATAGGTCTTCTTTCCACAAGAGAAGGCGGTGGCGCCGGCCGCGGAGTCGGTAATCGCACTGTTGGAGGATCTAGTACGGGACTGGCCGATCAGGTAACCATCTAACCAGAGGACATTCTCAGTGCCAGTCTGCCACTGGCGGAAGTTTCGGGCCATGTCAACACTCTGAGGCCCCATCCCGTCAGAAACCATGAGGATGACATTCCGCTTTCCGGATGGGATATCCCTGCGCTGCTGTTCACCAGCAGGCTCGGATGCCTCAGCCTGAGGTAAAACCGCCATCACGGTAACAATGGCGATGGCAGCGGCGGCCGCGGTCTGTGACCATGAGAAGAGCCCGGTGCGGCGCCGGGAGTAGTGAGTTGGCGCCATTGTATAGAATGATTATGGGCCGGAGGATCTTCAAAAGGGAAAATTGAAAGCGTATCTGTTTGCTCGCGGGCAGCGGACTCAAGACGCTGAAGCTGGCTCACTTATGGAGATAACAGGAGGGATTGCTGGATGGGATAGCGCTATATATATGGATATGCGCACATGTAGATTCCTCAGTTTCCATGATGGCTCATTCTGCCAACAGCAGGGACTAGGATCCCCTGATGATAGTCCCTGTCCATCTTCAGTCCACGTGCAGCAATAATCCCTCGATTGTTGAGTCTTCAGCAACAATATTAATTCGAAAGGTAAGGCAGATTCTGCATGTTGCCCGCCGTCGTTGACATGCTTGCTGGGCAAAGATAGCGTTGCCTTCGATTCTGCATCTCCGGGCTCCGAGGCATACTTTTCATATACAGAACCCGACCATCCAGCCGTATACCCTAGGCTTTCCAAGAAATAAAGGAGGGGTATCATCCACGCCTAGGCCGGACAAAAACTCCCTTCTAGGGAACGAGAAAGTCCACAGCTGCAGTCTCCTAGATATGCCAAGTTTGGCCAGGAGAATTGATGCGGTTGGCCCGGGCCTATGGGCTCATTGCGGGCTGCCATGGAGGGTTTAAGCAAGCTCTTTGCCCTCGGCCCAAGCAGAAGTGAGTATCCGCCCTTTGCGCTGGGTCCATATTGTGGGGAGCTCTTGGGTATAGCTCACACGGCCATATACACGGACATATCCAGCCAGTGAACGAGTTCCAGACGCCTATTTCACTACAGCATGGCGTCTACCGCCAACGCGACTGGTGCTGGGCGGCCGACTTGCAAGACACCTCGCGCTAACTAGGGGGAGATCTCCCGAGAGTTTTCCGGGTACGTTTCTGACAGGGTTGGTAACTATCCTTGTTGCTTGGGTCCTGGAGCTTTGTTAGTACAGGCTTGGAGCTCCGGCTATGGGAATTTTCTTACCCGGTAATACCCCGAGAGCAGTTAGTGATGAGCCCCAGAGTCTCAACGCCGAACTGCTGCAACGAAAATCATCGCCACCACCACCACCACCATCATCATGATCGAGAGAGAGAGTCCATGATGAAGTTGAAATGAAGTTGAAATTGACGTTTTGGCCCTAGCGGCACAGGCTGATTATGACGTAATCACGTCCTTCCAGCTTCTTCAACCTTCAAAACATCAAAACATCGAAACATCACGGGGAATCCTCATCAGCACCACCCACCATCACCGCATCTGTAGAGTGACCACAGACGACAGGATCCTGTCAGGGCTATGGACCTAGTTACCAAGCATGTCGCAGACCTGTCCACCTAACAACCGGCCTTGTCGGTGCCATGTGGGTTTTGTGTTAACCAAGTAAGTGCTAAAATGACCAAGAGCTTGCTAGCTGACAGTTATCTCAATAGCTCCGACAGGCTACGTATATTGTTCCCAGCACTGGCCAGCGTATACACGGTAACCCTGACCCATCAGTTGGACATAACACAAACGATGAATGCACACCATTACTACAGAGGAGCCCCTGCGCCGACGATGGTGGACGTGAGCGTTCGGGTTGGATGCACCGGGCGACGATGGCGTCTGGCAGGTTGCGTTCGTTTATGCAGTCAGAGACTGGAAAAGGCATCTTGAAATGTAGTCTCGCATACTTGCTGGGTACGATGGCGACTTTTGTCCCGGTCCTCTATCGATTCCTGGGCGACCAAGCCGGGAAACACACCGTCGCGACTGTCACAGTATACTTCCACCCAGCGCGAACAAAGGGTAGCATGATTGAGGCACTTGTGCTAGCTATCATCGCCTTTTGTTATGCTGCGTTCATTTCAATTACTAGTATGAGTGTTTCTGTACTCTTTGAGAACGGGCTCCACTTACTTCCACTTGGTCATGTCATCATCTTGATCGTCTTCTGCGGCGGCGGCCTCGGCTTCATCGGATGGGTGAAGCAGAGGCGAGGTGACCCGCTGGTTAATGTTGCATGCTCTCTTGCTTCTCTAGCAATCATTACCGTAATGACAAAAGAGGGATCTGTACAGCGAGGTGACTTGTCTTTCGCCAAGATCAACCAGGTTTTCAAAATGGTTATCATGGGTGTTATGGCGACAATGGCGGTCTGCTTCCTTGTATTTCCTATTTCTGCAAAGAAGAAACTACGTCAGAATATGGTTGACATGACAGACTCCCTCTCTGACATGCTGGAGATTATCACAGAAAGTTTTATATATGGGGGCTCGGAGCTTGGGGGCAGTTTAGAGCAGGGGCCTTTTCTTGATGCTTCAAACAAGAACAAAGCTGCATACTCGAAAATGGAAAAACTCCTTAAAGAAGCCAAGCTTGAACACTATGTCGCTGGTACTGAGGCGGAATATCAACTTGAGCAAAAATTAGTCCGTTGCATCCAGGATTTATCCCAGAGCATTGGTGGACTTCGAAGCGCTGCGGCTCTTCAGTTTGATATCCTAAACCAATTCCAACAGCCACCGCAGGACATTAACTCATTCGACACATTGCGATTGCTGCATAATGTATCTCCGCTCGCCAGCCTCAACAGGCCATTAACGTCCAGCCGTTTTGATGGCCTCCAGTCCCCACAATCTGCTACAACTATACGCTCTCCTGAACGTCCTCAAACAGCAAACAGCACTATGGAGTTTGTTCAAGCACCCGCAGACATGTTTGAAAGGTTTATCACTCACCTTGGGCCATCAATGGTATTTATGCACCCAACCTCCCAACGAACGAGCTTTGTATTTTGTATACTTAGTGCAGCCTGTTTCTCCTACAAACTAGGCTAACTTAAAGCACAATAGAACTCGCTTGCATACACGCTAAAGGAAATTCTAGGAGAACTCCCTTACGGTCCAGCCCCAGATTTCAAAGTTACGGTTAATATCAAGTTCCGAACGAGCCTTGAACGCGCACTTGAACTATACCGGCACGCTAGAAATGATGCTTTGAATATAATATACAGTCAGAAGGATTTAATCCTTGCCAAGGGAAAACCTCTTGGAGTTGAAGCTGACTTGGAAGAAGTTGCGGCTAGCTGTGGTCACTTTAGTTTCTCCCTTCTGGAATTTGGCGAACAGCTTAAAGAATTTCTTAGTATTCTTGACCAACTTCAATTAGAAGCTGAAGAGCGTCCGAATGGAAGAACTTGGCGCTGGATTATGCCATGGGCATCGCAGCATGAACAAAATGCAAATATAGGCCCACTTGATACCGGTTTGTGACCATTAGTATTACTCATATATGCTGCCTTATTTGTCAGTTTACTAACTTCGTACAAGGAGATCCATTGGGAGACAAAAATATAACCAGCAAAGTTCCTGACGTCTCTTTTGCTAGGGCCACACTCAGATACAGAGTTTGGAAGGCACTCCGTCTTTTTCGACGCGATGACACGAAATTCGCTATTAAAGTCGGTGCTGGCGCAGCCCTGTATGCACTGCCCTCGTTCATGCCTGAAACTAGACCGATATACTCTGCCTGGAGAGGGGAATGGGGCCTAGTATCTTATATGCTTGTATGCTCAATGACAATAGGGGCATCGAATACGACCGGCTATGCTAGATTTCTTGGTACATGTATTGGAGCCATCTGTGCTCTTGTTAGCTGGTACGTTGCGGAAGCGAATGTTATCTTCCTTGCCATATTCGGATGGGCAATGTCCTTTTGCACGGCTTATATCACGATAGCTAGGGGAAATGGGCCCATGGGGAGATTTATTATGCTTACCTATAACCTCATTGTCCTCTATGCATATGCCTTAGCCAAGGAAGGCGCCGACGACGGCGTGGGCGAAGGAGGAGATGATCCTGTGATTACTGATATCACTCTTCACAGAGTGGTTGCGGTATTCGTTGGTATCCTCTGGGGTATCATAATCACCAGGATCATTTGGCCGTCCAGTGCTAAACGGAAGCTAAAGGACGGCTTGAGTGTATTTTGGCTTCGTCTCAGTGTCATCTGGAAGCGCGACCCGTTGTCTACCATGATTCGGGGAGGACCGGCATCTCCTTATTTCGACGTACAGGAAAGGATCAAGCTGCAACTCTTCCTAAGCCACCTGGACTCACTCTTGGTATCAGCAAAGTCCGAATTTTCCTTAAAGAGACCCTTTCCAGATGCTGAATATAAGGTCCTCGTTTCTGGGTCCAGACGACTGCTTGATGCATTTCAGGCCATGAACCTTGAAATAATGAAGAACCTCACAGCTTCTGAAGGTGAAGCGGTGATGTTGAGATACACTTTACGGGAAAGAATGCAGTTATCTGCCAGAATAAGTCATTTATTGTCAGGTACGTATGTTTGTCTTCTCGCTTGCGTCGAACTGCTTTCTGGCCGATGAGGGTTCTAACCTGGCCCATAGTGATGGCATCTTCAATGAAACTAGGATACGCATTGAATGAGGTACTTCCAGACACTGAACATGCTAGAGATCGCCTTTTAGCGCGTCTCCACCATTTCAGGAATGACAAACAGGTCTCCCGGTTGACCACAGATGAGGACTACGCTCTTCTATATGCATATGGTATGTTCATGGCTTCACCCCCTCTCTACATTTACGGAGCCTGAACGCTCACACTCTTAAATAGCGCTCGTTACTGCTCAACTATCGAAGGAAATTGTGGTATTAATGGAAGGCATAAGAAACCTCTTTGGAGCTATTGATGAGGATGCCATCACCCTCCAATGACGGTCCAGCATCTCGTTGCTTTCAGTTTGTGTATATACACCCCTACTGCAGGTATCTACTTACTGTTATTAATATTTAGTTTCATTCTCTCTATTCTTCGCAGGAAACGGTGCTTTGACTTTCAGTCTCTGTTTGGAAAAAATTAACCGTCTCCATAGTTAATCGTAATAACATAAAGCGAGCATGTGTATCTCTAGATCGCTAAGAATTAGTTGAATGTAATACACTGAGAATTCTCCGGTCCTGTCCTCTAGTTCCTGAATCGAAAGCACAGTCACAAACCTGGCGTGTACGAGCATCATCCCCATCAAACTCTTGCAAACTAGCTGCTTGTAAAGCACCTAGGCCCATAGAGGACGGAGGAAGACTGCTCTCCCACTCGTTAACCTCCCCCTTTTTGATAGTGTCCTGATTACATAAGCCGATCTCTGTCAAACGCCGACGTCTCTTCGCGCTCCAACAACGAGACGATCCATCGACTTCTCACTCTTCAAGGGAACGAAACTCCATCCGGCGCATGATAGGCAAGGATAAGCGCCGGCCAGACATCGGCACTTCTCCTGTTTTTTAGATGAGGGCCTGAGCTAGCTTGACCTGGCCTCGCGCGAGCGCCTGGCCACCTCTATCAAATATCAATACTTTCACCATGCAGATCGACCCTGCAGCCCTAACAGGGACAACCGACTTTGCTACGGTTGCGCCGGCGGCTACAACAACCAAGACCGCCCCGACTGGTCCTCCTATAACGCAGAAGACGACCAAGGCGCTCATATCTGTTCCGCGTCTCGATGTCGAACCCATTTATACTGAGCTGAAAAGCGCAATCGGCGATGGTTGGACCGAATATAAGCAGGCTACCACACTCTTCTTGCTCGGTACGTCAGTGCTGTACTCATATCTAACCCATGCAGCTTGGTGTGCTTACCATACTGCTTTTTTGCTAGGACACCTTAATCAAAATGAATTTACCCTTCGAGCAGCGCCATTGCTGACCGTTGACCCGAAGCGCGAACGCCTTCACAACAACTTTGTCTGCGCCTTGCTAGGGAATTTGACTAGGGACCTCCCTGACCATGGAGTTGCGAGCTGGGTTTCTGCAAATGACAAGCCAACAGTGGTAACAAAACCGGCCTCTGGAGATGCTACCGAACAGCGCCTCAAGACCGAGGTCATGCAGCTCCCGCCGAGAGATAGAAGAAGATTAAAAGCAATTCCAGAGGTGAACTTCCCCATAAGAAGTACTGCCAATGGAGTTTGCAATCTTACTAACAGGATGCTTATAGCCTGATCCAAGTACTCTTCCTAACCCTCTCGAGGAATATCAACTAGCAAGGCAGATCAGGCTCCCGGACCAGGTCCCTGCCAGCGCTGGGGGTCTAAACAAAACAAGTACGCCTTGCTGTTAGCTGCTCTTTCTATTAGTATAAGCTAACGGCTGATAGACTGGGAACTCGAAATTCGCAAACGATATGCCCAACCTCTCGCGTCAGAGACTGGAGAGTTTCCCGACTCTGAATCAATATATGCCCGCATGACGCCTATTTGCTATGAAGAATCTATATCAAATGGAGCCACATTTTCGTGCGCAACTTACATGGCTATTGCGACCGAAAATTTTGTGAAGACTTTTCTCTCCAATGTTTTCGGCCGGACCAAGTGTAATGGCCCCTCTGGAACGATAAATGGAATGACGACGAGGAAATACCGTCGCCAATTAGAACGTGAGGAGATGGCATTTACACGAGGGGAGCTAGTTAGAAATACTACCAACGGCCTTCTCCCTGTCGAAGCAAAGGAAGCCAGCAATCGCCAACCACTGGGCCTACGTGACCTCAAATTGACCTTAGACATTGCTCCAGGAGCTCTTGGCCACATGCCTCTCATTATAAGTCAAATAATGGGGGGCTATCTCGAGGAAGAGCTGGATGCGGAAAACCAATGTTACGTGCAAGAGGCAAACACCGGTGTCGATAGTACTGATCATGTATCCTCTGGAGATGAGATGGATCTCGACGAAGAGCCTTGTGATTGGGATGGTGCTACGGCTGCGGACCATAGCCAGCTTAACTCGATCCTCGATGAATGCCTGTCTATGGCATCCTGATGTACTGTTCTGGAGTCGAGAGGTGCATATTTTTGGCGCAAGTGATGGATCTTGGTTTTGGAATACGCTTTTTGACTACCGTGGAATTCTGTTTCAGGAAATTTTTGCATTGGAAGGCCGGGTGTTTTGCAACGCTAAACTACGTATTATGGTTAATCAGTATTTTGATCTCCGAATTCAAAACCTCTATAGAGGTCTCGGTGTCGTATGTGTCCTAATATTTGGCATACCCTCTAGGGTAACATGATGACTTCTTAAAAGAAGTCTGTGAAGGAGCAAAAGCTAATCATTAGACATTCATGAAGGTAGTTATCTATAGATGAAACCATTATGCTGTACCCTATTTACCCCCTACCCTGGTACTCCTGTTTGTAAAGAAGAATAGAAATGTTGCTAGTGGCTGAAAAATGTAAGAAATAGACATGTTTGTTGAAGGAGAGAAAGCAATAGCGATTAGCGATCACGCGCGGGTTTAGTCCAGGCGGTTCAGCGTGATTTTCAGGATCTCTTCAGTAGTTTTATGGGCATTGGCAGGGTCTTTGCTAACGGTCTGCCAAATTTCTCCGTGTTTTGGTTCAGTAGCAATGCACTTTGTTAAGACATCTTCTCGTTTCTCCTATGGGAAGAAGTTAGCAAGAGAACTGGAATCGAAACATAAGGGAGCGGCTGGAAAGAGACAAAAAGAAAAGATCTTACATCTGTGCCATGCTGGAGTAGGAATTTATAGTACCATGCCCAAACATCTCCTAGATCGCTATTCGCAACAATGGCCTTTTCAAACCAGGTCATGGCTTTCTCGAGCCGTCTTTCGCCCCAAAATATACGAGCGACGGTGACAAATAGAATCGGATCGTTGTCCACCTTCTTGATAGCCTCCAAGCTTCGGGGTTTCCGGTGCGTGCGAGGTTCAAGATGCCATATGCTTTCGCTCCATAAAAGACCTGAATTCGGGGACTTCTTGGAGAGCCTTTGACATCAGGGACTTTGCCTGGCTGAGGTTATTTGCTCGGCGTTCTACCCTAACGCTCTCTGTCCAAAGTTCCGCATTCTTTGGAACAGCAAGTCGAGCACGATCAAGTACCGACCGAGCTTTCACAACGACGCCAGCTTTCTCCTCAAGCCTTGAAGCAAGGAGCCAAAGGGGCACTGATTTGGGACAGGCACGGGTCCCTGTACCGTAGGCTTCACGAGCCTGCTGGAGTTGACCATCACTCTCATATATTTGGCCCTTGAGCATCCAGAGTTTGTCAGCTTTAGGATAAAGCTGTAAGCCCTGGTTGACTAGGTTTAAGGCATGGTCCTTATTGCCGAGCTGGCGCTCATATGCTACACTCTTGATCCAAACCCTGTCCGTGCCAGCTTCTCGTCGAGCTGTTGACAGGAGTTCTCTGGCCTGCTCGATCTGATTAGTGTCAGCCTCGAGCTTCACTGCCGCAAGCCAGATGTCTTCATTGTTGGGATTCTGGTTAAATGCCCGCCCAAGGACTCGCCGTGTGTTGTCAATCTCGCCAGCTTGCCATTTCTCTTTGGCTAACTGCATCCACAAATCTTCGCATTGAGGACAGGCTTCAACACCCTTCTCAAGCAGCTGCCAGAGACTTTCTTTGGTGCCATGGTTCCGCTCTAGATCGGCAGCAGCTAGCCATACGGACTTCTTATTGACAAAAACGCGGAGTGCATAGGCATAGATGGCTCTTGCTGTTTCATATTTCCCCCTTGCAATACTGCCCTTTGCATCTTCCATCCAGATATCCTTTCTATCATCGTCTTCATCGAGGCCCCATCCCAACGTTTCACGGATAATGGCATTACAGGTAAGAATAGCATCTTCCTCTTCGCATTTTTCAGCCTCGATAATCCATTCTTCCCGTTTTGGCATGGCCGAGTCTCTCGCAAGGGATTGGACTGCCCTTTTCATCACGTTTACTTTGTTTGCAGTTCCCATTTGCTCTTGTAGTCTGGCTGCGGCGATCCAAATATCGCGGCTGGTAGGCACAGCTTTTCGAGCTGCGTTGAGGACCTTTTGGGCATTCTCAGGTGTCTCCAACCGTGCCAAAGCCAGCCATAGCTCAACGGAGAGAGGGATGATTTCGGTTGCTTTGGCAAGGAGGAGGCGTGCATCGTCGGGGTTTTCTTCTAGATTCACAGCCTCTTTCCAGATGATGACAGACTGGGGTACGTGAAGAATAGCCTGTCTCAAGACATTTTTCTTTGCTCGCGGGTCAGACTCCAGTTTCATAGCCTCGATCCAAAGCCTTGTTGATCGATCATTGTTTTTGATTGCGTTGGCAGCGATGATTTTGGCATTATGATTATCATTGAGGCGGATATTCTCTAGCCAAACATCTTCGCTTTTCGGACAAAGTTCACAGCCTCTGGCAATGTAATTTCTAGCGGCTCCAATGCGACCTGCGATCTCCTCTAGGCGAGCAATGGCGATCCATCCGGGAGGGTGTTTTGGGTTGGTTTTTGTGACTGATTCTAGAAGCGTGCGCACACGCTTGATATCTCCGATCTCTACCTCGCCAGCCTTCATCTCGGATTTCGTCAAACTCGTCAGGTAACCCTTTGGATCAATCGATGTTGCACTGCCAGAGGCAACATCTCCACTCGACCCTTCGGCTGCCTGGTCTAACCGCACCTGAAGCACTTTATCTCTGGCTGCTCCTATATCTGCGAAATTGGTGATGGTGCCATCCGCATTTTCACCTCGAGGGACGTACGACTCGGTTCCGTCATCGTTGATAGTAGTGGTAAACTCTGTTGAGTCCCTCGCATTCGCTATAACACTGTCCGGCACAGCATAGAATCTCTGGCGCATGTTTTGTCTGGCTCTTCGATTCTTGCCTGTAAGGTCTCCAACTTCGGGTATGTTAGCCCAGTCCTCGTCGGAGACTGACGCTAATGACCGCTTGAGGTCTGCGAATTGCTGTTGAATTTTCGGATTTTTTCTCTCATATTCTTCCATTTCCTGGCGTTCTCGGGCTTCCCTATGATAGCACGATGTGGCTTATGTTGGCAATCTGTTCAAAATGAAGGGGAGTTCTAGGACAAGATAAACTATTCGGTTCTTGTATAGACTCTAACACGGGGATGGAAGTAAAATCGTTAGACATACCTTCTCGCTTTGCGCCTTTTGTCCATCTTCTCGTCCACGGCCTGGTATACCTGGTCCGCCTCGTCGTCGTCTCGGTCATATTGTCCATAGGCAAAGAGGCCGGTCTCGTTCTCGGGGTCCTGATACCGGTCGTCATCTTCCTCTTCTTTCTCTGCCTTCCCGCCTTTCTCCCCTCGGTTAGACGCGCCGTATGCTGTCGGAGGAGCCGTCCCCAGCAACGCTGCTCGTTTTGCGAGGGCTTCCTGTATTTGTTCTGGCGTAGGCCCTTCTCGAGCTGGTCCGAGATCAGACCGGGTTGTGAAACCAGTAGCACCACGGCCCAATCCAGCAACGTAGTTTTCAGGAGCCGGCTGGCTCAGGAAATCCTTGCGTCCTGACATCGTCGGTACCCGGGGATATATGTAGCTGTCAACACTGTTGGGTTCTTGGTAGCTTCACGGAGCTCGAAGCTGGACGTCCAACGCTTGAGGCCCTGAAAGGTTTTATAGACGGAGGGACCTATTTCCGCTCCGACAAGATTTTTTTTTTTAACACAAATCTACTGCACACAGTTGGATGATTTCACAAGACAGATATCAGCGAGCATTGGGGTTACAAGCCTGGCCTGACAGAATAGACAGCTTACGGAAAAGGCCAAGATGCCCAAGGCAAAGCAAGGGAAGCGCAATAATGCGGCACAGGCGAGCAGCCCCTATGCGCAGGCCGTCGCCAAAACGAAGGCCGCCCACAACATCTTCCGCATGAACACAGATATAGGCCAGCACGTCTTGAAGAATCCGGGAGTGGCTCAGGCTATCGTGGACAAGGCGGATCTAAAGCAAAGTGACGTAGGTCTTAATATATCGGCCGTTTGGGAGGTGCTTCAGCTAATCTCAAACTGTAGACGGTGCTAGAAGTTGGACCTGGTTCCGGAAACTTGACTGTCAAGATTCTGGAGAAAGCCAAAAAAGTGATAGCCGTGGAGCTGGATCCAAGAATGGCAGCAGAGCTTACAAAGCGTGTGCAAGGAAAGCCGGAGCAAAAGAGGCTGGAAGTCCTGCTTGGAGACGTGATGAAGACAGAGGTCCCTTACTTCGATGTCTGCATAAGCAACACTCCATACCAGGTATAGTTTCTTAACTACCCTCTGCTGGGCTGTGGGATGTAAGGAACACTCCGCCACTGACCGCTAGCATATAGATTTCGTCTCCATTGACTTTCAAGCTGTTGGCTACGACCCCGGCACCCAGAGTATGCATCCTTATGTTCCAGCGTGAGTTTGCAATGAGGCTTTTTGCAAAGCCAGGGGACAAACTGTACAGCCGTTTATCTGTGAACGCCCAAATGTGGGCCAAAATAGACCATATCATGAAAGTGGGTAAAAACAACTTTAAGCCGCCTCCTGCTGTCGAATCTAGTGTGGTTCGCATTGTCCCCAAAGTCCCACGGCCGGATATTAGCTACGAAGAATGGGATGGTCTTCTCAGAATTGCCTTTGTCCGGAAGAACAAGACGCTGAGGTCTAGTTTTCTGGGAACTACTAGCGTTGTGAGTATGTTAGAAGCTAACTACTGCACATGGTGTGCCCAAAATAATATCCCAATTGATTCGGACCTCCAGGACGGCGATCAGCAAATGATTAGTGAGGAAGATGATCAAGTCGAGGAGGAAGTTGATGAAGTGATGGAGGTTGACGACGAGGATGACGTTCCTGACTTCTTCAAAACCGAGAAGGACCAGACCACCGCACCCAACCATGGTCCTACGAAACGTGGGAAGGTGACAAACCTCGTCCGAGAAAAGATCAGACAGGTTCTTGAAGACGACACCAAGCTCGCGGACAAACGTGCCCGGATGTGTGACGAAGGGGAATTCCTGAAGCTTCTTTGGGCATTCAATCAAAAGGGCATCCACTTCAGCTAGTCGGAAGTCATGGTTTATTTTCTTCATGAGATACGCTCTAAAAGTGACTATGAAGTTGAGTGGGACCTTTCTACAGCAGTGCCGCCTGATCTGAGATGCGCACTTGAATCTTGAAACAAGCTTTGCCATATGAAAGCCTCACTCAAGAGAAGCTCTATATCCTTCTCCGTCCAGTCTCGCGTTGGAAGTGCCTGGAGAAACATCATGACCTCCTACCACACAATCAGTATTCACTTCAGAAGGCTAACAATAACGGGCAACACAAACCTGAAAATCCATCTTCAGCAGCTGCTCCGACCACTTGACAAGGAACGCAGCGCAAACATACAAGTGAAACCGTGAAAATCCCTGCTCCTCTGCCTTTAATTCAGTTAGCATACTCCACCGGGTTCGAAGACTCTTGAGGTACGGTACCATATATGTATCCCACATCCTTATTGTATTTTTTATACTGATTTCCCGCATAAGTAGACAATTCATCCAACGAAAACTGAATTGCATGAACTCGACACCCTCATTTTCGAGGTGTTTGGTCAGTGCTAAGTCAATGCGCCTCGTGAGGTCATGCAGCGCATTTACTTGCCTGTGTATTCCAGGCTGTGCGTAAATATAATTATCTTGGATGCCGTCAAGGAGTTTGGTTAAGCACCAAAAGGAGTCTGCTTCGACAGCGTTGATCACAGGTTGTGGCAACTGTCCGGGATCCATACCTTGCTCGATATCGAAATCAGTAATATATGAACCCAGGAAAACTTGCCAAAAAGGAGTGACAAGGTCGTTTATTCCTTGAACATATCCGCTTGCGGGGTGTCGAATTGCCCAAACGTACAGAATTCGCTCAAGTGACCGTTGTGTTGCCTCATAGGCATAAAGGGGTATATGGGGGTTAGTCCGCGGGATGTCAATACTAATTTGATGCCAGATTGCCTCATCAATCCCTCTTCCACCACCTAGGTTCGGAGTTGAAGAGGTAGCTGGCACAGCTTTTGATCCAATGGACGAGTTACGCTCAAAAGCTTGCCGTACGCCATCAAGATATTCCTTTCGTTTGCGCTCTAGTGTTGAGACACGACGGTCACTGTTTGCGGGCAAATATCCGAGCAGTAGTTGCCATGTCATTGCCCTGACTTCTTCCGGGATGCCCGACCAAGCTAGGTCACGAAGCTCAGGCAATGATACGGTACTGGACTGGAGTATTCGCTTGAATTTGTTTACTCGGCTTATTCGAGTAGAATGAGCTTCTGTCTCCTTTGAACTGGCGCCAGGTGGTGGGGGGGAGTGGTTGATCAAGTTCAGAGAATTTGCGGGATCTAGTATGTTACGATTAGCCGGTTAACAATAGCATTGCAATACGCATAGAGTTGGACGTACCCTTTAATATATCTTTATACTGCGGCCGGAGTATTTTACCTTCTGATTTATTTGCTGTAGGGTAAGTCAAACTCGACCGTTCCTCTGCGATGTCTGCACTGTTCGCTCTGAGGCGCATGCTGTGCATGCTCGGAATCAGGTTTGGACCCTTTGCATGACTACCTGCTTCGGGGGTGGACTGGGTTGCCTTCACCTGAATATTATAGCCTGGTGGCGGCTTGGCCCGTTGTCGGCGCATGTTGGTAACACTTGGAAGTCCGAATTCGTCCTCATCGTCCTCGTACCCTATTTCATCACCGTCATCATCATCGTCTATATCGGCAGCCGAGCCTCCAGACCCTTGAGAGAGGAAACTGCTATATGGGTGCTGTGATGAAAATGTTCTTTTTCCAGTTTTTCCGCTGTCACGGACCCTGTTTGAACTTGGGGAGAGTGAAGGCCGCGATGGTGTAGAAGCTCTTGAACTAGGAGGGACACCCCTATACAATGCCTAAGTCAGTATTGCGATCCACCTCAGGGTTGTTTAAAGCAGCTCTATCAACAAACGGAGGAGGACAAACTTCAACATATCTGTATGGGCATAGGAGGCCCCGACAACGGTGTTATGGTTGAACGACGACACATTCGGGCTCTGCGGCCGGGAGGACGACGACAATGATCTCCAAAACGGGAGCCCTCCTCGACTATATAGAGAGTCAGCGTCTGCTATAGAAAGCTCGGGGAATAAGTGATATTGATAGCTGGGGTGTAACGTACGAAGATGCGTGGTCTATGGATTATCGCATGTTTATCAGCTTATCAGTAATAATAGATGGTTCCCTTGTATAAACGCAACAGACAAGAAAAGGTGAAGAATCGATCTAGAGGCTCAGGGCAAGGCATCTCGAATCACGGACCGACCTGAACCATTTCCTACGAGCTGTCTGTTAGCTTAAAAGAGTGCCAGAGAATTTGGGGCAAAGAGGGGGTCATATAGCTAGCGAGCTGCCCATACCTGCGGCGTCTGGTGCTGGTCCTGTCGTCCCTTTTTACTCGACATTGTGGCGGCCAACAGGCAAGAAACGACACGGGGGGAAACGCCTAGGCGCCGGCTATGCAGCTATGTCTCGTTCCAGCATCTATCCTCCCTCGACGGCGGCTGATCTCGAGCTGTCTGGCTGTCATCTTCGCACTGCTTTTGTCGTTGACGTTTGGAGGTTTTTAGCCTCCGTCTGCTTAGTCAGCCAAGCCACCCTCGAGAAGGTGAAAAACCTCGAAGTCCAACTTCGTTCAACCTCGCCGGCTTTTTCTCTTCCTGTGTCTTTCCCACCAGCAACCACGTCCAACACCAGCAGCCGAGAGCGCGGCCTTTGCGGCTTTGTGATAGCGACAATACAGAGCTGAGATAACGAGACTCACGTGGTGTATTTAGCTGTCGACTGTAGTCCGAGTGTTTTTTTCTCTCTCTTTTGTGGCGTTTCAGTCTCATTCAGTTGTCACTTCAGGAACCATGACCGAGCCAGAGGACCTCGAGGAGGATCTCTTTGCTGACCTGTGAGCTGCTTACCCTTGCATTATCGTTGCTGCTGGATTCCTTGTTGCACTAGGCTGCACGTCTTGGGATGTTTGTATTTCTTTCTGACCTGCTTGATAGCTATGATGCCGACGAGACCCCAGCAACATCCGCACCTCCTGCCACTGTACAAGCACAATCTCAGCCTCCCCCTTCTACCAAGACGGAAGTAGTGGAAACACCCAACTCTACACAGCCTACTGTGACTCAGCAGCTGCAGCCTGCTCAAGAGCACAAATTGGAGCAGCCACCAGCCCAAAATGGTGCTCAGGGAACACCGACAGTTGCGGATACGAGTAGTGGTGGACATGCTTCGAATGAGCCTGAAAACCAAGGGACAGGTATAAAAGAAGACGGGTAAGTTAGCGTGTATTTGACAGTTTTAAGTTCTATTTCCCCTATTATTGCCCGTTTTACCGTACGCTTTACATCACCAAAAATCAATCGACCAGTTGCGTTGGTTGCCGCCAGGAAAGAATAAAGAGGTTACGGACTACCTTGGAACATTGGTAGTCCGATATTCCAGGGTGGACAATATTTATACATTTCATATTCTCCTTTATCTGGAAAGGAAGGGCGATAATATTCCCAGCTACGCGAGCCAAAAGATACGAAGCGTCTTTCGACTGCCCGCCTATGCATGGAATATGAATTCGTTGGCTTTTAAAGATCGAATATGTGGCGTGTGTGCGCGGGTTATGGGATCGCGCATAGATGGAGGGCAATCCCTGGTTTACCCGGCACTTTCAGCTGAGCTTGCATGACCCTGACATGGCTGCTGCGCGGTTCACTATTTGGACATTTATGGAAAGGGTACCAGGGGTCAAAAAGGGTGCTAGCCATAATTCGATGGGGTTTATCAGTTCAGTGGCTGAAAAGAGATCGAGGGTATTTCATGCATTAAAAGCCTCTGCACGATTCCGCTGTGGAACGACTATAGTATATCAGATACTATATATCTTGTCGGTATATCTTGATAGAGCAGTGCAAGAAGCAGTTATTTACTTAACTGTCTTCGATATGGAATATCGAACATTACCTAGCTTCGGACATAGAATCAGGCAGAGGATTATCGGAAAAAAGAACTTCGAAAAATTCCAATTCTCAGTTTATTGAAGCTCGACGGGTGCACAATTGCATATCCACAAAGACCAAAGACCAAAAACCACAAGTTCAAAGAACCTTGCACCTAGTTTCCGACATGACCGTGAGGTGACCATGCGAAGTCAGCCTTCACATCTCCTTCGACTGTAAAGCGTCCAGCAGCACGCTGAACCCATCGTCTTGCGAGAGTTATTTCAAGCTCTCCATACTCATTACATGGCCATGGTGGGAAGAAAATTCATTATCAAAGCTCCGATATGATCCCTGGGAAACGAAGTCCGGCTATGCATGCATCTCCAGCAACCCCTGACATTCATCATCTCCAATACACGGCGTATCTATCGATGCAACAGCATAGAGCATCAATTGATGAGCACCTAAGCGAACGATTGCAGGCGCAGAAGCTCTATTGTCCCACCACGATTAGATCTCATGTTCTTGAGGGCGCGGCCACGATGCATTGAACCTTCTCTTTCTCTTCTCTCTTTTGTTCTTCTTGCTTGCTACACCTTGGATCGAACATATGCTATTTTCTCCATGCAGACTCATAAACGGAATGGATCTGGGCTAATGCTATATATTTAAAATAGTAAAATGTTTATTGGCGGATTGAACTGGGAGACCACAGACCGTACGTACAAAGCTCATCTCAACAATAAACTACATATGCCGAGGCGCGCGTATCTGACAATAACTATTTTTAGAATCTCTCAAGGAATACTTTTCCCAGTTCGGAGAAGTACACGAATGCACGGTTATGCGAGATGGAGCCTCTGGCCGATCAAGAGGGTTTGGCTTCCTTACATTTACTGACCCAAAGACTGTAAACACGGTCATGGTCAAGGAGCATTACTTGGATGGTAAAATTGTATGGCTTGCACCGTCGATATCTGGCCCCTTGCTGGGATATTTTGCTGACCGAGAATATAAGATTGACCCTAAACGCGCAATTCCTCGAGACGAACAGGAACGGACCAGTAAGATTTTTGTTGGTGGTGTGAGCCAGGAAGCTACTGAACAAGAGTTCAAGCAATTTTTCATGCAGTTTGGCCGCGTTGTAGATGCAACTCTCATGATTGACAAGGATACTGGACGACCCCGAGGGTTTGGCTTTGTTACTTTCGATAGCGAGGCTGCTGTGGAAGCAACCCTTTCAGTACCGCTGGAGATTCATGGGAAAGCGATTGAGGTGAAAAAGGCTCAACCCCGTGGTAACCTGAGAGACGATGAGGAGAGCCGCCGGCTAGGCAAACGTGGGTTCCGAGATGATCGATTCAAGGATGACCGTGGCAGCGGATCTGATTCAAGCCAGCAAAATAACGCCCAAAACCAAGCAAACATGGCAGGTGGCATGACACCCCAAATGATGGCCCAATACTGGCAGCGGATGCAACAATACTTTGCTTTAATGCAGCAGCAGATGGCTTCTGCTCAGGCCCAAGGCATGAACCCAGCCATGGGGGGCATGAACCCAGCTGTTCTCCAGCAGATGCAGCAGATGCAGCAGATGCAACAGATGAATCAAATGAAACAGCAGCCGGGTGCCCAGCAGGGAGGAATGCCTCCAGCCTCTCAGACACCTCCTAACGGTCAGGGAATGCAAGGAATGATGAACCCCATGCAACAACAGATGCAGATGCAGCAGATGCAACAAATGAATCAAATGCCAAATCAAGGACAGACAGGGCCGGGCTTCACAGGTGGAGGCATGGGTGGCCAGATGGGTGGAAGCGTTGCTGGGGGCCCTGGAGCATCGGGTTCAACTAGCGGCCCTGCAATGGGCGGAAACTTTGGCAACAACAGGGGAGGCCCCGGGTACAATGCCCAAGAGCAAATTGCATTTGAACAACAGAAATATGAACAACAACAGCAAGCCAGGCGGGCAGATCCTCGGACATTCCCAGCATATCAGCAAGGCAACCAGTCTTGGGAGGGCATGTATGATGATACACCACAGCCCAACCTGCCAACTGGTCCTCAAGGTATGGGCCGTGTTGGAAGTGCTGGGGGCCCCATGGGACGTGGAATGTCACCTAATGTTGGGAATAAACCCCCACAGCCGGTTGCATCTCCTCAGCCGCAGAGTGCGCCGCCAGCAAATGCTCCTACCGGCCCTCGAAATGCTGGCAGGCCGGGGGCTAACTACCGCGGAGGTGGCCGTGGAGCTCACAGAGGCTTTCATCCATACTCCCGTGGTTGAGGTCGATTCCTCAGGCCTTTCTATACTACAACTGAGCCTGAACATTGGACCAGAGATTCTCAGTAGGTGACAGATATTCGGCTTCTATCCCTAGCGACCGAAGCACCCTATTCGCCATACTGCCTAGTGCTCTTCACTGTACTACCGATCTATGGGGGTTCTCTCTAGTTTTATGCTACCTTTCTGCCTTGTTCTCCCTTTTTACGATGAACCGGGGACATGAAGCTTTCCTCTGGAGGGAGTTAGCTCCTCGTCTTCTCATAGCTATTGTTCCCATTCTTTCTTTCATTGCTCCCCCCCTCTAATGGCTTAAATGGTGGCCCATATCAAGTGTTTAGCTTCGTCTTTGTATTGTGTTATTTTAAGCAACAATTTTAATCTCAGTGTCAAATAAATAGGAAAAGAAAGGGGATTGCCTATTCATCGTCTTTCATTTGGCAACACAAGTAGATTGCTACAAGTAGACATCGTTCGGCATATTGTTTTGTCTTAATCAAATGCAGCGCCTAGTTAGTAATATTGCTACGCAGAATGAACTGAAATTCAATTATTACATCCACTCTCCCATACCACCCCCCTATCTAAACATACTCAACACTGCTGGGCATGATAATATAACAAAATGATATATGAACTGAACAGGGGGCGAAATAAAAAGGGAGGCTCCGTTGGAAACCAGACTCCATTCCCAGCCTAGATTTCAACTCCAATACACCAGAAAACAGAGGAAAGGTACCTCAGACATTTGGTATGTAGGCCTGTTTCGCCAAATAACTCCCAAGGCTCCTAAAAAGTAAAGACACGTATGTTGCTAGCTTGTATGAAGCAAGACCCTCGGTGTCAAACGCTGTGTAGTGAACGTACCTATGTACAAAGTAAGGTGGTACCAAACGCACAAGTAACAGCCCGGTGGAGAAAGAGAAGAGAAGAAAAGGAGAAAGATGCAAAGGAGGGGATAAGAAATAAAGAACATAGAAGACGATGGTTGAAGTCCAACACGATAAATGCGCAGAAAACTGTGAGGGTAAGCAGTTAGAAGCAAGGGACAGTAAAATGAAAAGGAGGTAGGAAATGAATGTTTAGTGCTTTGGCTTCGTGTTTCTGCGTCGGAGTCCAAATTCTTCCTCTTGAATTTGTCTAATGAGCTTGATGCTATCTGGGTCAACATCAGCTTCTGCGAAACTGGTCCGGTCGTGTGCCTTTTTTGATGGTGGCGCATTGCCGTCGTTTGTACGGTGGGATGATCCGGGTCTTGAAGATGTCTTTGATCTAACCGGAGAGGACGGAGATAGGCCTGAAGCGGAAGAACGGTCCTTGGAGGTACGCTTTTGTCCATCTACAGCTTTTGTGTTGAGGGAAGGGTAACGGGATTGGTGATAAGATATGGAGGTTGGGGTATGAATTGATAAAGGCTTGTCAGTATTCTGATCGCCATCTGCTGTTTTGCCCTTTTCACCGTCCAGCGAGCTGGGCACTCCATCAATGTCGTCGACTAGGGATGTTGGCGGGGATACAAGACTGCCAATCGGGAGTTCAGATTCTGGGGCAATTGGATGTTGTTCAGTGGGAGCTTCTGCCTCTGAGTTTCCGGCTGGGGGAGACGAATAAAGAGGGCTATCTCGGGGAAAATTGGACTTGAGAACATGCGCCTTGTCTCGCGGATTGCCGATCTTAGGCTCTTGTGCAGAATCTGTATCATTCTTTGAGCGAGAAGATATATTTTCTGTAGTTGGTGGCGGCTTATTTTCATTGCGCTTCTGCTTTTTTGGAGGTGTTGATTTTTCATCATCAGGCCGTGAACGTTTCGCCTTCGGTTGCTCTTGGATTTTGACCGGGTCAACTCGACCGGCTTCGTCATGGATGCAGCGCCGCTAGTATGTATTAGCATAATGCTTTTTATAAGGTAGTTAGGAGATATACTGACCTTACTCTTCCGACATTCCTCACAGGCCTTTATTCTGCCCTTCTTACTGAAACTTGATGAGCCAGGGCTTGTTTCCTGAGGCCTCTTCTCTCCGTTCCCGCTCGACTCTGAAGGGTTAGAACCACAGACGTTATCCTGATTTAATGCGTCATTGCGATAAGGGAGAGAATTCCCATTGATCTTTTCGACGGAATCATCAGACCCTGAGGCAGCCAAGGCTGTTTCCCTTGCATCTACACCAATGGACGATTCTTTAACAACCTCTTGATCGGAAGTAGTATCAAGACCACCACCATCTTTGTGACGACACTTGATACGGCGTTTTCGGCAAGGGTCACAGGCAATCCGTTTCGGACCGAGGCTTGTAGCCTTAGGAGTCTGTCGTGGGCTGCCCTCCAAGCCTTTGCTATCGGCGATAGACGGCATGCGTGTTTCTTCAGCAGGTGTTCCACTGCCGGAAGAAGCGGACACGCTTCTCAGAGGCGTGCTAATTGCAGGTTGCGAGCCTTGGTCAGACGTCTTCTGAGCATTGGTGAGTGAAGGCCTCGGTTTTTGAGACCCGCTCATAGCACGCTCAGACTGTTTGCGTGGCCTAGTGCTTCGGCGTTTATCAGATATGTCGACTTTTACATCCATAACGATTGCTCCGGGACGAGTCCATTGGGGTGCGGGTTCGTTACCCCGTTTCCAAGCAACCCAGACTCCAAATTTCTGCGCCGTATCGACGGGATCACCTTGTCCTTTGGGGATAGATCTGCTGACGGCGTTTCTCGTTTCCTTAGTGACACCATCAACTTTATAGCCACCTGCAATCAATGCAGTTCTCAGAATGTATTTAGCCAGCTCGGGAAGTCCGTCAATCTCACCCTGGGGGTAGAATTTGGCGTTATAATAATCCGACCCTGGCTCCTGGCTAGCAGAAAATTCCTCTGCTTCTGGGTGATAAACGGGTTTCTCGCGGTGGAACTGGTAATTCTCATCCTGAGCAAAAGCGTCCTGCAGCTGAGGTGGAAGCGGATCATCAGCAAGGTATTTCAAGACAGTGAGCCACATAATCTTCTGGAAAAATGGATATCGGAATTTTCGCGGGACTTTGGCGTCCTTCTCCATCTTGGTGATCTTGAGCTGCATTGCATAATTCATTCTTGTCAGGAAGTTGCCGCCTATAACCAGACTGTCTTCGGGTGTCCAAACAGCATGAATCCAGCCAGAAGGGATCAGCATCGTGTCACCCTCGGAGAGGTCTACTCGATAACATTCTTTGGATTCTGTTCCGAGAAAGGTGGTGTCTTGCGCAGGGGAGTTGCACCATTCGTCGTACTTCTTCAAATGCTTCTCCTTGGGAGGGATGAAGAAGAAGGTCTTCTTTCCCTTGAGTATGTGGTAATATACCGACGAACCGCCGAAATCTATATGGAAGTCCGTGTAGCAGTCGGCAACAGACATCAGGCAGTAGAACTGGACCTTCGGATAGTCTCCAAGGGCCTGTTGTTCGGGTGGCCATACTGAGTCTTGAAGGTCAAGTTCGCGGACCACTCGCGGACGCCGTAGAAGCCGTCCCAGCGGAGATTGCGAAACCTCCAGGCTGATAACATTTTTGACCATCTTGGAGGAGCTAGTATCGTAATAATAGTCCATCCATCTCTGCATGGTCCATTTCTTTTCTTCGCCTTGCTGCGATTTAACGTCGATGACTTCAATCTTTTCCTCTGGTCCATAGATCTCGCCTACGGCCTTTACCGTGAGGTCTCTGGGAATGACCATGTCGAGAAGATCCTGGCCGCAGTCAATAGCCTCTTCGTAGCCGTTATCTTCGGGGATGCCTGCATCGAACTCTTCTTCCGTAGTAGCTTCGGGGAAATCGATACCCGAATGCGAGTTCATATGCGCGGGAATGACAACCGGCTCGATCATGCCAGCTCCGCGTTCAAAGTATGAAGCGGTGACTAGATCTGGCGACATCCTGGCGAAATGGTCTGGTAGGAATGTTATGGTACCTTGCTTTATGGCCGCAAGATGGATGTTTTCGTTCTCCTCAGAGGGCGGCTTGACGAATCCCTGGTTCAGGCCCGCGTAATCGATAGCCGTCCGTGGACGAGTGGACTTGCGGACAAAGGTGGTTGGGCCGTGTATGGGGCGACATTTGATGCAGATGAACTTGTCTACAGTCCGTATCTCATGGTCACTCTTGAAGCCGCAACAGACGATATGGAACCACTGGTCACATCCGTCACAGTTGACCCAGGTAACTTCTGCATCGTCTCCTCCAACCTCGACCGGGAGGCGATCACGGTTACAGGCCGCACAGTTCGTCTGGCCGGTAGAGCTGCCAGCGTCGGCTGCCTTTTGTTTCGTTCGTGGTCTGGATTTAGTGGGTTCCTTATCTTGAGACGGTTTAGCAGACGGTATAACGGGTGTTTCTTGGCCCCACGAATTAGTAGAAGCAGAAGCTGCGGGAGTAATTGCAGCAGTGTTCTTATATTTCTTCTTCTTTGCAGGCTTTTCTTCTTCCCCTTCTTCCAGGTCGTCTTCGAGTACGGCTCCCATGGCAGCGGGATATAGAGGTGAGTCAGGCAGAAGGCCGTTCATGGCGGGCCTGGAGAGTGCAGCAGCGCCATCTGACTGGGACCGTAGCCTAACGGGCGGAATACCGTTTGCACCTCCTGGCATCCCAGACCAGACGGAGGCGCCTCTGTCGCGTATGACATCGCCGTGGTCGTAGGCAGAAACCGCCGAGGCAGGGCCGCGCCACAGATCGGTGTTCCAGGAGTGAGTAGGGTTTTCTGTAGTGATCCGGGACAGGGGAGTGGTGTGAGGGGAGTAATGGGGAGAGTTGGTCGGTCTAGCGAAGTTGAGCAGCAGCTCGGCGTCTGTCTTCATGCTATCGAGGTTGGAGACATGGCTCGTTGCCGGCCTGTCTCCGAGTCTCTGCCAGCCGGGCGAGGGCGCCTTTTCCGACTTTGCTCGCTTCGAGGGCCTCTCGTCGAGATCAGGAGCAGCTCCCTGGTGTCCAAGGGGCGAGATGACTGGCTCGTCCGGCCCGTCGTAGGCGAGAGGAGAGAAGGTCGGGCTGGTAGCCAGGGCTATCGTAGCAAGAGTGTCGATGGTAGACCTCGACCTGGCATGTCCGCCGGGCCTGCCCGGGGAGTGCTGGTGCTGCTGGTGCTGCTGGTGCTGCTGGTGCTGGTGCTGCTGATGTTGGCCATGAAGATGATTATGATGCTGTAGCTGCTGTAGCTGGTGTCCTGGGTGCGGCTGCGATGGCTGCTGATGGCGTTGCTGGTGATGCTGGTGATGCTGCTGGAGCGGCTCGCCGTCCCGCGCCTCGTCCCCCGAGGACGACACAGGCCCATCGCCCCGTCCGGAGCAGCTGGCGCCTGGTTTCCCTAGACAGCCAGCACGCGGAAGCGCAGCAGGGCCGGCCGCAGCGGCAAAGGAGAGACGGGGGGAGAGCGGCTCGATCGCATGGCGAGGAGGGGAGGGAGTGCGGTAGTGCGACGGGCGGTTCGTAGGATGGGCGCCGAACGAGGTCGAGGGCGCCATGGCCGGGCAAGCAGCAGGGCAGGGCTCCTGGCGGTGCAGACGAGGACAGGCCGGGCTGTGAGCGAGATCAGGCCAGGCCGAGTGGCAGCATCAGCATCGGCGCGTTGCAGCGAGGCGAGAGCGGCTGGTTGATGGCGGGGAGGTTTCTGTCTGCTTGGTGGACGGTTTGGTTTCTGGCCTTCTCGACGGCGGCCGCAACGCATCGACGCAAGAGCCCGCGGGCCCGGCTGGGTTTCGCTTTCGTGCTTCTCGTGCTGTGCTGGCCGTCAGCGTAGGAGCAGGCAGACGCCCATCAGCGGTCGCGGTCGAGGGTCGATGAAGGTGGAAGACGCAGAACTCGCGGCGGTTTTGGTTTGCGAAAAAGAAGACGAAGAAAGAAAAAAAAGAGACGATGAAGCTTTTTTTTGGACGGTTTTTGTATTGGGATTACGCGTTTATTACGAGGTTGTGGTGGAAGTTTTGCGGGCGGGCAGTAAGTTACGTGGTAATACAGATACGGCTGCGGCATGGAGGGCGAACATCTTCGCTTTACGCCGCGACGAAGGGCCAAAGGAGGGAAGAAAAGGGCCTGAGGACGTCGATAAGAGGGTGATTGGGCTGGGGAGGGCAGTGGTCTATTCGTGGCGGGCGAGGAAGGCTGCTGGTTGGGGCCTACCAATTGACATTGATATTGATATTGATATCTACCACGACACTTTGATATCTACCAACTTGATACTGTGTACAAGGTAGAGAGGTAGATAGACACCGGCAGAGAATACCTGCTTGGTTGGCCTGGGATAGCCAATGTCAAGCCCGCTGAACGCCTAGAGTAGTCTATATGACCATCGATCTGGCGCGGGCTCGTTCTTCCACAGACAGCTTGTCCACGACGTCTCCGTCTGCCTGCGAGATCTCCTCCCACTCCTCCTCCTCCATGCCCATGATCATCACGATCTGTGCACATCGGGCAAACGTCTCGCGGTGGCGATACCGGCCTGCCCTGCCGCCAATGCTGCTGCCGCCGCCGCCTCTCTCCCCGGGAGCAGAGTGCGGGTGCTGGCCCTGGCTCTCGGCCACGTCCACGGCAGCGGCGATTATCCCAGTGACGTCTCGCTCCAGCCTGGTGGTCCCCAGGGCGTTGACCCGGCCGTGGTAAGACCAGAGCCGCTTCTCCAGCAACCTCGACAACGACGCCAGTGTCACGCCGAGGAGACGGTCAAAGGTGTTGCCCGTCAGGATGCGGGCTATCGGCAGCATCAGGTCACGCCAGCCGGCTGCGAACCGCTGACGGACCAGGCTCTGGTGTCCGGCTTCATGGTGGTGCATCAGGACGTCGTCTTCCACTGCTACACTCGCTGCTGCTCCTGCTCCATCTTCCCCTTCGCCGTCCTGGGGCTGGTACTCCGTGTCCCTGAAGGCATCCGCAAGAATAGGACGGAGACGGGACTTGAGTACGTTATTGAAGATGACCTGTATGCCGTCGCCGATGAGGTCCTGGGCCTTGGACGTAAAAGTAGCAGAGAGTGACCGTAGCGTGCTCAACACCACCTGGGCGTCGTCGGCAAGCGGGAACAGCATAGAAATCCGTGGCTGAGCGTTGGCATCACTGGTGACGTCGCCGCCAGTGTCCGTCGACTCCATGTGTCGTTTCACGATGCGCTCTAGGTAGTCCACGGCAACGTCCAGGTTGTTGACAAGCACAAGGAAGGACACCACCGTCGCAGCTGGAGGTTGGCCGCCCGGAACAACGGGCCTGGGGTGCGTCTCGTCTCGCATCTTCCGGTGAACCATGCCGATGAAGTCAGCACCGAGAACCCGTGCAATTGTAGGCACCACGCTGGTCACGGCCGACCGCTGAGAGGTGGCCAGCGTCTGCTGGATGACCTTGTTCACGATGTACATGATATCGTCCACGACAGACGTGATATGGGGCGAGTTAGACACCAGCGGCTTCCGAAGGTCCAGGGTCAGGTCAACGGGCGCCTCGTCCAACTGAAACGCCTTTTCCACCGACCGACGGAGGAAGAAGGTCGTCATCGCGTTGTACGGTGATAGCAGCTTGGTATCGACCTTTTGAGACAGCGGAGAGCCCGTCAGGAAGGACGGCAGCTCTAGGTCGTCATCATCGGCACCATCTTCCTATGTCTGATATCAGCAATCCAGTAGTAATAATAGTAGTAAAATGTAGAGTGTAATAGAAAAGGGAGATAGAGAGAGAGATGTATATACCCTGCATTTACTGGCTAGGAACCTCCCGTAGAGAGACCACCGGCCGAGCATGACTGATATCTCGTTCAATATGGAATCAATCTCCTTCATGTCGACCCCTTCATCTTCACTGTTCCGCTGCGGCGTATCCCAGCTCGCCGGAGAATTCGACCGCGGCGTGCCAGCAGCCCCCCTGGCACCTGGCAAAAAGCTCTGGACCAGGAACGTGAATGCATACGACTTGATATCCGTCAGTCTGCGGTCGACATGCCGCTCCTCCGCCCACGACTCGAGGATGATGCCCCCCTGGACATCGGCCTCGACCTGTAGCCGTTCCACCACCCGGCCCATCTTCCCGGGGCCGTAGTGTCTCTCAACCAGCGCCCCGTGGGCATCCACGATCTGAGCAATGTGCTCGAACAGCCTGGTCAGGGCATTGGCGTAGAAGAAGTCGTCCTTTGCCTGCGCACCCCCCGTGCCGGCATTGAGATTCGAGCGAGCCCTTGCGGCCACTCCCTGGCACACATAGCGGCCGTACACATCCAGGCCGACGTCTGACTTGCCGATTAACGGGAACAGCTTGAAGAACCGGGTGATCTTGGCCCCGTCGTTCTCCTTCACGGCGTGCTCAAACTCGCGGAGAAACAGGGCGCACAGCGACTCGGCCGCGCTCGACAGCGTCACGCTGGGGGTATCCGGCACCTCTGCGGTAGGCACAATCTCGGCCGCAAAGGGGCTGTTGACCACGTCCTCTGGTATCTTGGATGCGCGGTGCATGTAGGAGGCCGCCATCTCCCAGTTCTGCGATGCGCCCATCGAGCCCGCAACGCCCAGCACGCAGGCCTTGAGCTCTGCGACCTGCCCGACCATGTCCAGGATCGACCGGACGCGCGACTGCTCGAGATCCAGCCTGCGGACGGCGCTCGACAGCGTGTGGGCAGACGAGGCCGCGCCGGACAGCATCTCATGGCTGATGGCGCGGGCGGTGCTGGCCTGCGTCCCCAGGTGGGCGCGCAGCAGGTCGAGGCGCCCGAGTTCGCGCGAGAGATCCTTCTGCGAGGCCACCAGGGCGTCGAGACGGGCTGTCACCAGGGCTTCTCGGTCCTGGAGCTGCGAGAGCGCCGCCCGGATGGCTGCAACGGAGCTGGCGTTGTAGATGTTGCTGTCGCTGTCTGTATCTCTGTCTGTGTCTGTGGCTCTGTTGCTGTCCCTGCCTGGCCCTACGCCGTTTGCGAGCTCTGGAGACGGCAGACGCCCGCTGCCGTGGCCATTGGCCTGGCTCACCGTCGCGCTGGCCATTCTCTGCCTGTTTCTGCAGATGTCGAGCGGTTGGTGGTTGTTATCATAGAAGCCAGCAAAGCGTTTGGATATTTGGATAGTTACTTGGATGTTTTTCGATGTTGCGGACGACGAGGAGGAACAACCTGGAGGCCGACGACGAGCAGAACGCGGACACAAGCAGCAGCAGGCAACAGACGGCGGGATAGCGAGGCTGGATACACTGGTAAGAGGCCGTTGTTACTTCTATCGACTGTCTGGTGAGTTGTTACAGCTGGCTGACGTCGTTATAGGGCGATACCAGGGGATCCAAGGGCCTGTCTCGTCTCAGCCCCCCCTCCACGGCGCCGCTACCACTGAAGACAGCGAAGACAAGGGCATAAACAGATACCTCAGACGAAGAGCAGAGGGAGAGAGACGGCATGGGGGCGGAAACCTCCAAGATGGTGGACGAGAGCGTCCCGCCGGCGACGCTGGAGAAACGCAGCATCGAGGGCATCGTGAAGTACATCCGGGAGAAGAAGAACTGCAAGATAGTAGTCATGGTACGTGGACGGGACAGATATATATATATATATATACACACACAGAGAGAGAGAGAGAGAGAGAGAGAAGATACAGGGACTGACAAGGGAACAGACTGGTGCTGGCATCAGTACGTCTGCTGGCATCCCCGACTTCCGCTCGCCAGACACAGGCATCTACGCCAACCTCGCGCGCCTCGAGCTGCCGTACCCCGAGGCAGTGTTTGATATCTCGTACTTCCGCCAGAACCCGCAGCCGTTCTACGCGCTGGCGAGGGAGATGTTCCCGGGCAAGTACCGGCCTACGATCACTCACTCGTTTATACGGCTGCTACACGACAAGGGGCTGCTCCTGAAGCTGTTTACGCAGAACATCGACTGTCTGGAGAGGAAGGCTGGCGTCCCGGGAGACATGATTGTCGAGGCCCACGGCAGCTTTGCAACACACAGCTGCATCGACTGCAAGGCCGCCTACGCAGACGAGCTGATGGCCAAGGCGATTGCAGCCAGCGAGATACCGTCATGCAGCGAGTGCAAGGGCATCGTCAAGCCAGACATTGTCTTCTTCGGAGAGGCGCTGCCCCCCAACTTCTTCTCCAGCCGCGACCTGCCGGCCCAGGCAGACCTGTGCATAGTTATGGGCACCAGCCTGAGCGTGCAGCCGTTTGCCGGCCTGCCGAGCCTCTGCCGCGAAGAGACGCCGCGGGTGCTGGTCAACCTCGAGCAGGCTGGGTCGCTGGGCTCGAGGGCCGACGATGTCCTGGTCCTGGGCGACTGTGACGGTGGTGTACGCCGTCTTGCGGACGCTCTCGGCTGGCTGGACGAGCTGGAGCAGCTGTGGGCAGAGACATGTCCAGAGCTCGCCACCAGCAAGACGCAAGGCCCGGACGAGGACAAGGAGGCGCTATCCAAGGACGAGCGTCTGCACGACGAAGTCGACCGTCTCTCGGCGGAGGTAGACTCGGCCCTGAAGGCGTCTCGCGAGCATGAGACCCGGACAAAGGCGCAGCTCGAGGCTCTCCAGGAGCAGGAGAACAAGATACAGCCCGGCCAGACGCAGGACAACGATGAAGAGAAGCAAGAGGAGAAGCAGAAAGCCTCGGAAGACCAGCTGGCTGCGTCCATGGCCGCTCTCGATGTCTCCAGGGATGAGGACAAGCTGCGGCCGGTTGATACTGAGTGACATTGATATGACGTATATTGATATTGATATTGGCCCGATCACGACTTTACGACTCTGGCGGCGGCTCTCTATGTATACAAGTCTCTGTAGCCTCTTGATCCATCATCTCCATCTCTTCTCTTCGTCTCTTCTTCTGTGTCTTCGTCGTCGCTGTCTTTGTCCCCCTTTTGCATCTTTCTTTGCTTCTTCTCGCTGAGTAACAAAAGCCCAACCAAGGCCAAAAACTCCCCACCGCTTCAGCTGCCAACTACAACATCTACAACATCTACAACACCTACAGCTACAGCTACAGACACGCCATTGATCAAGAGATAGTAAAGAAGACAGTAAAGAAGACAGACAAGATGGTTCCTGTTCCTCGCAAGCGGCCGTCCCGCAAGGGTGAGTCCCCCTCAGTGATCGACGGCGGGAGCTCGCTGACGCTGTGTAGGATCCATGGTCGACATGCCCAAGGCGCTGCTGGACGAGATCAAGGAGCTCGAAGAGACCTTCACAGTCGACACGGCCAGGCTCAAGAAGATCGTCGAGCACTTCGCCAACGAGCTCACTAAGGGTACGTCCTCACCCCCCGGCAGAGAGAGTCGCGGCTGACCGGCGGGCGCACCACAGGCCTCAGCGTCGAGGGCGGCAACATCGTACGTTCCCAACCCATGTAGAAGCTATGACAAGGCCCTACGATAGCGGATATAGAGGATATGATAGCTGATTGCAGTGGCCGCAGCCGATGAACGTCACCTGGGTGCTGGGGTTCCCGAACGGCAACGAGCAGGGCACCTTTTTGGCCCTCGACATGGGCGGCACCAACCTGCGAGTCTGCGAGATCGTCCTCTCGGAGGAGAAGGGAGAGTTTGACATCACGCAGTCCAAGTACCGCATCCCCGAGGAGCTCAAGACGGGCACCTCTGAAGAGCTCTGGGAGTACATTGCCGATTGCGTGCAGCAGTTCATCGAGTACCACCACGACGGCGAGGAGCTGCCGGACCTGCCGCTGGGCTTCACGTTCTCCTACCCGGCCACGCAGGACTACATCGACCACGGCGTCCTGCAGAGATGGACCAAGGGATTCGACATTGACGGCGTTGAGGGAGAAGACGTTGTCCCCATGCTAGAGAGTGCATTGGCGAAGAAGGTACATTCATACATACATACTACACCTCTATACAGTCTGATCTACTGATCTAACATGTACTAGGGACTGTCTATCAAAGTTGCTGCTTTGATAAACGACACCACGGGAACGCTGATTGCTTCCTCCTACACCGACCCGGACATGAAGATTGGCTGCATCTTCGGAACCGGTGTCAACGCTGCATACATGGAAAACGCAGGCTCGATACCCAAGATTGCCCACTACAACCTGCCCCCAGACATGCCCGTAGCCATCAACTGCGAGTACGGCGCCTTCGACAACGAGCGTGTTGTCCTGCCCTTGACCAAGTTCGACAAGATCATTGACCGCGACTCCCCCCGTCCCGGCCAGCAGGCCTTCGAGAAGATGACCGCCGGCCTCTACCTCGGCGAGATCTTCCGTCTCGTCCTCGTCGACATCGTCGACAACAAGGGTGGCATCATTTTCCAGGGCCAGAAGACCGACAACCTCCGAAAACCATACTTCCTCGACTCCTCGTTCCTCTCCGCCATCGAGGAGGATCCGTTCGAGAACTTGTCCGAAACCCGCGACCTGTTCGAGCGTACCCTGGGCATCCAGGCCACCAAGCCAGAGCTCGAGCTGTGCAGACGTCTGGCCGAGCTCATCGGCACCAGAGCTGCTCGTATCTCGGCCTGCGGAGTAGCTGCCATCTGCACGAAGAAGAACATCAAGTCCTGCCACGTCGGTGCGGACGGCTCCGTGTTCAACAAGTACCCCCATTTCAAGCAGCGAGGCGCCAAAGCCCTACGTGAGATCCTCGACTGGGCCGATAATGAGGACGATAAGGTTGTCATGAGCTCTGCTGAGGATGGTTCCGGTGTTGGAGCTGCTCTCATTGCTGCCCTGACCCTCGAGCGTGTCAAGGCCGGCAACTTGGCCGGTGTCAGGAACAAGGAGAACATCAGCCAGATGCTCAAGGGTTAGCAGTAGCTGTAGCTGTAGTAACAGGACGGAGGCTAGCGTTATATGGATGGCGTTTATTCATATAAAAACAGCTCTGGAGGTGTGTGTGCGCGTGTATCTTGGTTTGATAGATTGGTTTTAATCTTCTTTACATTTCGCTTTGAAAGCTCTCTCTCTCTCCCCCTTTTGTTTTGATTCAACATGCCGTCAACAGAATAATTTTAGGCCCAGGGGAATATCATAGATCTATGATTCTATATCTCGAATATCTATCACCAACCAACCCGTTTTTCCCATTCAAATTTCTATTTCATCCGTGGATCTCCCAGAGACGGATCTTGCCCTGTTCATTGGCAACTGCAATTGAATCCGAAGTTGGTGATACTGCAACAGATGATATGCGGCCAAACGGTGTACTGGACGTCGGCCAATTCGAGTAGACCGTACACGACGGTAGATGGACCAGCCTCAGGGCATCTCTCTTCCACCGGCTGGCCATGACCATGAACTGTCCGTCCTGCGCAAACACCAGATGACTGATAGGGGTAGTCAACTGATCCAAAACACGAACTGGCTTCGGCCGCTGCGGTACCCCCAATTGAACATCCGCCGCCTCCTCAGCCTGTTTACCTGGCTTCCGTAGAGCCACCGCAGCGGCATCAGCCCAGGGCTTTCGGTCATAGATATTGACAATACCGCTGGAACTGCCAATGGCAACCCATCGATCACCCCCAAGCTCCTGGCGGCCCGTCTGGCCTCCCAGGCTCAGCACCGTAGTGCCAACGGCACCTTCATCCACCCATCGAGCGATAATTCGCTTCTCACGGCCGTCCCATTCACTGACTTCACCGTTCTTGCCAACAACACACATTCCCTCGCCGTCACTCCACCAGGCGAAATCAGCTACGCCGCCGCGGCTGTCGATGCGCACCTGAGCCACCCACTGCATGGTATTGGCATCAAAAACAATAACGACACCGCCGCCCTTTTTGGTCGTTCCTTCGAACCCGATCCAGCGGCCACAGGGCGAGACCTTGAAGTATTCCATTGACTTGAGTTCGTGTTTGCGGTCCGCGGGACCAACGATCTTTTCAATCTTGCCTGTATCCATGTTCCAGACGTGGAAGAACCGTCGACGTCCTGAACATAGGATACGGTTGCCGGTTGGTTGGTCGAATGTGCTTGTCCGTAGGGGAGTATGGCGGATATGTAGGGATGTTAGCAGTGGATTAGGCGATGCTGAATCAGGAGATATGTGGTGTAAAAATAGAGTAGATGCCGGTCCAGAGGAGAGTAGTAATGGATAGTGAGGGTGGAAAGATAGCGAGTCAATCGAGGACTACAACAAGATGTTAGTATCTGGCAGGAATGTAAGGGAAAAAACAGACAGGTAAAAAGAACTCACCGGCTGGTTTCCGCCAACGTCTTTCAAACGCTGGATATCTAGAACTCCCTGACGGAGCTTCTTCTTCTTCCCAGCAGAAGCATCAGATCTAGTCAAATCGCCTATGTTCTGCAACAGCTTCGCCAGCGGCTGCGCTGAAAGGTCTTCCTCTGCATCCTCCTCATCCTCGCCCATTGACAGATCAGAGGCATCTTCCTCGGTCTTCCGTCTCTTAGGTGCCGGACTGGCCCATTCGGGAGCAGGTTGGAGCCGTTCAAACTGTCGTCTAAGACGAGCAATATATTCTCTACCACCGATAACATCCTCGCCCTCGTGAAGTCGTAGCTTTCTCAATCGCTCGTTATCTGCCAGGGACACTCGAATTCGGTCATCGTCGCTATCTTCCCATGCAGCAGGGACTCCGTCCTCCTCTAAAACCTGTAGCGCTTCTGCTGGCTGTTCGTCTTTTGGTATGGGAACCACGGGGCCCGAGTCTCCAGCGTCAAGGTAGAATAGCTATTGCAGCAGTCAGCACAATTGAATACACAAGGATATAATTGGAAATATCATACCTCCTCGTCAGGGACATTGGCTAGATCGTCGTCCGAATCATCACCGACTCCCAATCCCTCTGCCGTCTCTGATCCGTCCGCTAAAACGAGCTCCTTTGAACCCGCCTGCTCACGCTCCCTGAGCGCACTGTGAAACCCTTCCGAGTCACCGAATAGCAGCCTTTCAAGCTCGTCTTCAGTCTCGTCTTTCTCCATTATATCTTCCTTTGCGATGCCATTGGTATTATCTTCTGCGTCGGCGTCCATGAATGCAGCTTTGCGCTGCTTCTTCTGTCGACTTTTTCGTTCCGGCGCCATTTTTGCACAACCTAAGGAGACAACCAGAAGCAAACGAAGGAACGAATACAGCTGTACCCTAATAGACCGTTTATTCCAGCGTTAACTCCCTGTCTACGAAGCTGTTGGTTGTGCTAAAAGCTCGGCTTGTTTCTTTTTGATAATTTTTTTAATATTTTATGCCAAGAGTTACTTTTTTTTTTCTTTTCCGCGAGACGAAAAAAGTAACAATTTGACGCGCGAAGATGACATCATGTTTGAGCGGCAGCGATATCTTATCTAGAGGGGTTGAGTAAAAGAAATTATCCTGGTAAGCGGTGCATTATTCTGGATATTATATAGATATATATGGTGAGGTATAGATATATAGTATTGCTGGCGTAGGGAGTATGTATGTAAAACGAACAAACGGAAGGATAACAATGCCAGCCCAGGCCGAACCGTACACGGGTATGCAAAGTAGATAATTGAACAGATTGCTAGATGATAGACCAACGCCGCTTCACCAGTACATGAGAAAAGCAAAAAGGGAAAACAAAAAAAGGAGACGAAGAGTAAGTAGAGACCAGAGGTAGAAGAAGATAGGGAGAGGAGGACGGCTAGGAATGTGGTAAGGAAGCAGGCTTGTTGTTGCGGGAAGAGACCTGGCCGTTAGCAGGTTTGGAGCTGTCCTCGTCGTCGGAAAAGATGGCAGGCGCCGTATCGAGGACCTCATCATCACTGGCGGCGTAATTATCCTCGTCGTCTAGTCCTGCCAGCAGCGCACTACGGCGATGTCTATCGCTGCTGATAGAAGCCGCGTCGTCGAAGTCATGGTCATCGTCGTTCTGCTGTAGCGGATCATGATCAAAGGCACGCTTTTTGATGAAGATATCGATGATGTAGTACTGCACGGCGTTCATGATGACGGGGAACAGCAGCATGACGAAGAAGATCTGGACGGCGGTGTTGCCTTCTGTCCAGCGGAGGGCCCAGTCGCCTATGAGGACGATGAAGGGGAGCCAGTAGATGATGCAGAGAACGCATATTTTCATGATAACGAGACCGAAGAAGTAGATCATCGACTGCTTGAACCACCACAGCACTTTGGGTGGGCGGCCGTAGTGGCCTGACTCGATGGACTCTGGAGGGTTGGCCAGGGGGGTATACAGCGCTGCATGGTTCAGCACTCGCAATATGAGTATCAAAATGGGGATTCCAAGCGTAGTCTAGTAACTGTTAGTACACAGTAAAGCATGATATATGAATATATAGAAAAGGGGTGAATGTTTGACGCACGTCGATTCCAAGGTTGAGAAGATAGTAGCTGCAGGGATTTGTCTGAGCGTCATCCGGCGATATCTGGCCCGCAGAGAGCATGGAGGCCAGCAAATTGACGAGATGCAGCATGGAAGAGCCAAAGACCTGCTTCGACACGTCAAACGCCCACACTTTGACTGGCCGCTGCGGCCTCTCCTTCCACCGCTTGTATACGAGCACCAGCAGCGCCAGGGCTCCCAGAGACACCTGAATGACCAGCGCAAAAGGGCCGAGCAGTTCGCATTTGCCGTTCCCTGGATCTCCTGGAGCATCCGGCGAGCCTGTGGCTGTGGCTGTAGCTGTTCCTGTTGTGCCTGAGGCGGAGGTCATGGTAGCGGCGAGGACGGTGGTGGTGGCACGCTGGAGAATCAGGTTGCCCTGGCCTGCCGCCATGGCTGCAGTAGAGAAGGACGACGTGGTCTGGTACTGTATATCCCCGTCTATCAAGTATCTCCCTCTCGTCGTTGTCGTCTGCGGCTAGAGGTGTGAATTAGGGATGTATCGAGGCTGCCGCCTACATAGGGCGTGGACGGGGCTGTGTATGGGAGAAAAGCTGTGTCAGAAGGCCAGCCGTGGCCTTTCTTTCTCTCCCTCTTCTTCTCTTCTTCTTTTCTCTTCTTCTTCTCTTCGTCTTCTGCTTCTTCTGCTTCTGCTCTTCGTCTTGCTATCAAATCTTGTCTTTTCTTTTCCTTTGCTTTGGATGTTTCGAAAGCTGGAAGGTTAAGTCACGTGTGGTCTGGGCCTCGAGCATAGAAAAGTGTTGAAGATCTTTGGCATATAAAAGATAGAGGATAAAAAAGATAGAGAAGATAGAAGAAAAGAGAGTCGACTTAATTATAGCATTGACTAGTCGGTAATAGTTATATATCGTGTTTTAACGTCATCAGAGCCGGAACTGCTCCTTGACCGTACCCCATGGGATAATGCAGAGGGAGCGTACAAGTAAAGACAGAACAGTGGTAAAATAGAAACAAAATAAAAATAGACAAAGATAAAGATAAAACCACCGGCAAGTTAAGTAACCCCCAAACGCCTCGACCGAAGGAACGCCTTGAACCGCTCTGCCAGGGACCGGGCAGAGATAACGTGGCTCCTCGACCTGGACTCTCCTACAGCAGCAGAAGCGGAAGCAGTAGCAGAAGTAGTAGTAGAAGAAGACTCAGGACAAGGACCGTGAAGTGGGATGCGCAAGCTGCTGGCCTCAGGGGCCGGCGCTGGGCAGGGGGAGGAAGGAGGAGGAGGTCGACATGATTTCGAGGTCTGGTCCTGGGGCGCTTGTAGTCAATCGATGCCGTGCTGCAGCTTGAGCCGTTCGAGGTTCTCCTGGCGCGCGGCGAGGTCCGTTTTTGACCTGACCATCTTCTCTGGCTGGTGATATAGCACTGCTAGTTGTCAGTAACTATATAGATATAGACATAGTATAGTATAGGAGACTGACCGACGAGGTAGCGGTTCTGGAAGTTGAAGCCGTTCAGCTTGTCGCAGGCCTGCTTTGCATCGGTGACGTCTTCGTAGACCACGAACGCGGTGCCCTTGGAGTTGGCGGCGATGCCCTGGCGTATCTGGCTGCTGCGCTGTCAGCCATGTATCTCTCTACCAGGTGGTTATAGCATCCAAGTATCTACTCACCGGATGGGCCCGAATTTGCCAAAGAGGTCAAAGAGCTCCTCCGCGGTGACGTTGTAGCTGTCCGGGTTAGCGCTGGCTGTCAATGGCACCGCATCACGCATCAGCTGGCGTACCTGAGATTCTTCACAAAGAGGATCCTGTCCACCGAGCCAAGTCAGTCCAAGCCTATAGCTAATGATAGTCGCAGTCTTCCACTTCTGCTTCCACTTCCACTCACCTGTTGGCTTCCGGGGCGAGTTTGGCGCTACGGCTCATATCTCTGCAGTTTCTGTCTGTCGCTTGTGTCTGTCGTTTCTTGCTGGCTACGTCTTCGTCTCGTCGTCGTCTCTTTTCGTCGACTTTTGCGAGGATGTTTTTTCTTCTTCTTCTTCTTTCCGCGTGTTCCTTGTGTTTCCTTTGCTTGTTCCTGCCTTTTTCGTTCGTCTTCTTCCTCTTTCGGTCGAAGTGTTTGCCTTGTTGGGAAGGCACGTGAGGGAGTCGCGCTTTCTTACTCGCTGGCTAAAGCAGAGCTGCTTTAGGTTAGTCATCACCTTTTAACTTAAAGCGGCATGGCTTAGTCACCTTAGTAACAAATTAGTCATGCTTAGTCATGCTTAGTCACACTTCTCTCTCTTCTCTTCTTCTCTTACTCTCAGCTTCATCTCCAGCATCCAAGGTTCTCTTCATCCCAGCTCATCTTCACTGCTAAAATGACACGGAGCGAGTGCTCCGTACAGCTTCGAGCTCGTTCCCCAGGAAGTTCCTGATAAACTCCAGCTCCCGCCACCAGCTGTTATCAGCCAATCACCCGCGCGCTGGAGATTTAACAAAGAAGCTTATCGGCCTCTAACGCCCGCCGCTTCATGGCTTCGCTTCCTCTCGAACCGCCAGCCAGCTCGACCTCCACCACTTTTGCCGGTTGCTCAAAATTATGGCGCGCAAGGAACAGCAGCCTTATCTCTCCGCGCCTTATCTGGCTATCTCTCTCTCCTAAGCCTATCTCTCGCCTCAGCTAGTCACCTAACGACGCTGTGGCTAATCTTAGGCTCGATCTCAGCCGCCCCCGTCGAACCTGTGCCAGCGCCAGGTCGATCCTTCGCGGGCCTGTCGTGTGCCTGGCTTTTGATACCTCTTCCCTATCCCCAGATGATACCACTTGCACCCTATACATGTGCAATGTGCAACCCCAAGATAACATCCTTATTATCTTTCATTCAGCAGCTACGAGCTTCTACTCTACGGAGTACTTCGTACCTGTTCTTCTATCATCTTCGTCTACTGAGCTTTGGATGACGAAGTATCGGTATGACTAAGCTAGTTCCCTGGATCTTCCGAGGTCGCTAGCAGGCTCCTCCTAAACCTTCCGTGTTATCTATCTGCGCCTCCGAGCGAATCAGGGGCATATCAATATCAGACATTTCTAATTCCCCCCAGTCCTGATATCGATCCGATGCCAAAAACCTGGTTAGCTCATGGAACTCACCTCTACGTTATCTGCTTCCCCTTCCCGCTTCTCCCCAGGCCCTTCGTGGCTGGGCCTCTCCTGCCTCGTCTTCAGATGCGTCTTTTTCACCGGTCTCAGCCCGAGGGCGGAGGCATCCTGTCCCTTTTTATCTTGCCTCCTATCCCCCTTCTCTGGTTGAGATGCCTTCTTCTCCATTTCTTTCCATGTCCACTTGCTCTCTTCCTGTCGTTAAAGGGTAGTTGATCTACGGCATTTCATCCATATACTATACTTATCTACCTAGATAATATACATACATATATACGTATATACACTCCATTCGTCCAAGATATCACGCCAGGGTAACTGCAGGACCGACGATGCCGGCTCCCTTCGCCCCTGACTATGCCTCCTACAACTGGACCGGCTCCCCGTCCAACTTCACCCTCTCCACAAATGCTGCTTTGGGTGGTGACTCGCGTGAGTGCCCAATTCATACTTCCCCTGCGCATCCCTTCTAACGAGAAGTTCACAGGAGTTGAGAATGTCAACAAATGGTTCCAGCCAGGCGACCAGGCCTACATTCTGGTAGCCTCTGCCATGGCAATGGTCATGGTCCCCGGCCTTGGTTTCCTATACTCCGGCCTTGCCCGCAGAAAGTCGGCTCTTAGCATGATATGGGCCTGCATGGCCTCCATGTCCGTCATCAGCTTTCAGTGGTACTTCTGGGGCTACTCCCTTGCCTTCTCCCCCACTGCCACAAACGGGTTCATTGGCAATTTGCACAACTTCGGCCTCATGACTACCCTGGCTACTCCCAGTCCGGGCTCTCCCCTTCTCTCCGACCTCCTCTATTCTTTCTACCAGGTATGACCATGCACATTTCCCTACCCCTTATTGCATTTTTTCTTACGTTCCCTATTGACACGCAATGTAGCTCCAATTTTGCGCTGTCACAGCTGCTATAGTCATGGGTGCCGTGGCCGAACGAGGACGCCTGCTGCCTGCTCTGGTCTTCATTTTCTTCTGGGCTACCCTCGTCTACTGCCCCATCACCTACTGGGTCTGGAACCCCAGCGGCTGGGCCTTCAAGTACGGCGTCATGGACTATGCTGGCGGTGGGCCTGTTGAAATTGTCTCCGGTCTATCTGCCCTGGCTTACTCCCTCGTCCTCGGCCGTCGCCACGAACGCATGATGATCAACTTCCGGCCTCACAACGTCTCCCTGATATTGCTCGGCACCGTCTTCCTTTGGTTCGGATGGCTGGGCTTCAACGGTGGCTCTGCATTCGGCGCAAACCTCCGCGCCGTCATGGCCTGCTGGAACTCCAACCTGACCGCTAGCTTTGCCGCCATGACCTGGGTGCTTCTTGACTGGCGTCTGTCAAAGAAATGGTCAATGGTCGGATGGTGTTCGGGTACCATCTCTGGCCTTGTTGCTGCCACCCCGGCATCAGGCTTCATCCCGCCGTGGGCCAGCGTCATTCTCGGAGTCGTCACCGGCTTTGTTTCCAACTACAGCACTAAACGTGAGTCGTCTTCCAATCATACTAATCTTTTTCCATTAGTTTCTGACTTCTCTAGTGAAATACTGGATGGGTATCGACGATTCCATGGACGTATTCGCCGAACACGGAGTTGCCGGTATCGTTGGACTATTATTCAACGCCTTCTTCGGAAGCGATGCCATCGTAGGCCTCGACGGAGTCAACGTCGGTGCCAAAAATCCAGTCACCGGAACCCCAGTGGGCGGCTGGATCATCCACAACTACCGCCAACTATACATCCAACTAGCCTACATAGTCGCCACGGCAGCCTACTCCTTCGTCGTATCCGCCATCATCGCCTACGCCATCAACATAATCCCCGGCCTCAAACTACGCGCATCTGAACAAGCAGAGCTCCTCGGCATGGACGACGACCAGCTCGGTGAATTCGCGTATGATTATGTCGAAGTACGCCGTGACTACCTTGCATGGACGCCTCAGAAAAACGACCAGGAACAGGACGCGAGCGTTTCCCCAGCCAATCTCTATGGCTGTGGTGAACATAGTGGAATGTTCTCAAACTCTGCACAAGAAACAAAGAGCCAGCCTGTTTCCTCTCCTTCTCCGTCAAAGTCTTCTTCTCAGACCAACCTTCGAGACGTCACTGCAACGCCTTCGGTTGTAGGTGCGCCAGACCACCCTCCTGCCGAACATAGCGAGCATGTTGAGGCTGTCGAAGTCGAGTTGAGTGAAAAGCCTCGGTAGCTGCTAGTTACCCAACTTTTCATTAAACGTGTCCATGAAGATTTATGATTGATTCGAGATACCCTCTATTTTCCTATCGTGTTTATTAGGCTATTGTTTTTCAGCGCGAGGAGTTAATGGCGTTCTTATCAGTATTGATTTCATTCGAAACGGAATTAGTATCTTTAATATAATCCATTATTTTGTTTTTGAAATTACCCACTATTAACATTAACTGCCGTTTCGATAAAAACCCCCGTTACTATTTCCGAACAGTAGAATAAGTAAAATGTCTGTCGCTCTATATGTATACATCCCAACCATATGCCTCCCAATTAATAAAACATGAGAACGAGAAACATGAAAAGTAACTACAAGGAACGAAAGGGGAAGGAAACATAAAGCGTGGTCCTGATCATACAGCTTATATCCTTTATACGTTTCCGCTGTACCCTATAATAGAAGAGAGCGTTCCTGTAGAAGACGATGCCGGAACTCCCATGCCGCTCATCTTCCTCTTCCACAAGAGATACTTCCGGACTTCATCGGCCCAAAAGACAGAGCTAGAAATACATACCAAAGAAACCAAATCCCAAAAACCTAGCCCCTCTGTCTGGAAGATCCCCTGTAGAATAGGCAAGTAGATAACGCAAGCTTGGCCGAACAGAGATCCTAGAACGGCGTAATTAAACATTTTGTTGCCCGTGAGAGATAGTTCGCCACGTAGTAGTGATTTGGACTCGGATCGGCAGGTGAGAGCATTGAACATGTCGAAGAGTACAAAGCAGGTGAATGTCATGGTCGTATCGCGACGGGTGACTATGCGAGAATGCACGCCCGAAACCTCGTCGGTGTGGTCGGCCATTTGGTGAATGTATACGGCAAGGGTGCCAACCATGATGAAGCATGCCGAGGTTAAGACACGGCGGATGAGAGGCTTCGTCAAAACACGAGCATGTTTGGACCGTGGCGGTCGGACCATTATCGATGGATCAACTGGCTCGACTCCAAGTGATTGAGCGGGTGGGCCATCCATGAGAATGTCTGATTGAGCTGTTGTTAGTGGTGTGGTTCCAAGAAACTGTGATATAAATAAAACATGACATAAGACTTACTGATCCATAAAATTTGCATGGCATTGAGAGGATTTTTGAAGCCCAGTCCGGTACTGAGCAGAACCAAGCTTAACGCAGCCACGCTGGTACTCAACTGGAACGTGATGAAGTTCTGAATGTTATAGAATATTCCCTTTCCTTGCTCAATCGCTCGTAATATCGTGGAGAAATCGTCGTCTGTCAAGATCATATCCGCCGCCTCTTTGGCAACATCAGTGCCTAGCTTGCCCATAGATATACCGATATCAGCCTTTTTCAACGCTGGTGCGTCATTGACACCATCACCTGTCATTGCAACAACATCACCGCGCGATTGAAGCGCTTTCACAATCTTCATCTTGTGTTCTGGGCTTGTTCTTGCAAATATCGATGTCCCTGAAATGGCCTCTGCCAGCTCTTCAGTGTTCATATGATCAATCTCATCGCCTCGAAGGACTGGCCTTGCGGCTGAGGAAGAATTAATAGGCATCCCAAGTTTCTTTGCAATCGCAACAGCTGTAGTTTCTGCATCGCCGGTGATCATGATAACCTTGACTCCTCCAGCCATGAGGCGTCGGATAGACTTGTGAACATCCTTTCTGGGAGGGTCATTCATACCGACAAGGCCAGAGAATATGAGACCGGTGTAGCGCTTCTCATCGTTGCTTGCTGTATGCTTAGAAGCACCATTGTGGCTCCTAATTGGCCCACTGGCAAAGCCGAGGACTCGGAGACCTTCCTGAGCCATCGATTCGGCGGCTGCTTTGGCGTCTTTTCGTCGCTGCTCATCTAGAATAACTTCTCGCCCGTCTTTGGTAAGATAAGTATCACATCTCTTTAGAACCTCTTCCACGGCGCCCTTAATATATGCCATATCCGAGCCGCTGTGGCTGATGGCATTATCAGTTGAATTTGCACTTGCTACAATGACTCCCATCCATTTTCGCTCAGAACTGAATGGGGTCTCCGAAATCCGGCCGCTGATGACATCGCGGACATCATCTTCACCAAGCATATCCAACATATCAAGAATGGCAACGTCAGTTGGTTGGCCAACCCAGCGGCTTTTCACGGCCCCTGAGGAGCTATCCATTGTGGAAGATAGGACAGCAGCTGAAGCGGCGGTTGCTGGTGAATTCGCGTGCGCCCTTGATAGCCGACTATTGTTCGCAATGTTGCCAACCCGCATAATTGTTCTCGCGGCTGGGGTAGTGTGAAGCACGTTATGCTCCTTGTTTACCTCGAACGGCTCATCACTATCAAAATACCACATTTTTGTCACAGTCATATGGTTCAGCGTTAGGGTACCGGTTTTGTCACTGCACACAACGTTGACGGAGCCCAGAGTTTCCACACTTGGTAGTCGTCTCACGATTGCACCACGGTTGGCCATTCTCAGGACCCCAAGAGCTAGCGTGACAGTCACAATAATCGGGAGGCCCTCAGGAATAGCGGCCACGGCGAGGGAAACTCCAATGGTAAACATGTCAAGCAACCTTCGACCCTGAATTAGCCCAATCACAACAATGATGCCAATCACAATGAATGACATGTAGCTTAGTTCTTGACCGAGCCGGTCCATCGAAAGCTGTAATGGCGTCCTCGGGCTCTCAATATCCTGCAACGAAGCGGAGATGCTTCCAAACTCCGTGTTGGGTCCAGTAGCTATGACGATTCCCTGTCCATGGCCTGATCTTACCAATGTCCCCATGAACGCAATGTTATGTTGCTCATTTAATCGAAGATCTGTGCCAACCGTTCCAGCAGCAGGCGAGTCATAAAATGGGGAATTTTTACCATCCTGAAACTGTCTTGGTGTTTGTCCCAAGGAGTTTGAAATCTTATGCACCGGCTCATTCTCTCCTGTTAAGTTGGATTCGTCTATTGTAAGGTCTGCTGCGGAGGTAATTCGAACGTCTGCTGGTATACGGTCTCCAGTCGAAAATATGATCAAATCGCCAGGAACTAGGGTTGTAGCCGTAACTGTAGTTGATGCCTTTGCAGACGGTCCTGCGGGGTGAGCTGGTGCATTTGTAAGGTTGACCATTTCATATTCTTCCTCCACTTCGTCCTTGGCTACTGCCGGCACAGCACCAAATCCATTTGTAGGAACATTACGGATCAGGTGGGCGAAATGGGGTACTAGCCGACTGAGTGCCTCCAGTGACTTCTCAGAACGGTACTCCTGGACAAATCCAACGCTGACTACAATTGTCACTGCGAGAGTGATACTCACAGCGTCGTCATAATTTTGCATCAGGAAGGAAATGGCTGCAGAGGCGAGCAGTAGCAGAATCAAAGGCTCTTTGAATTGTTTAAGAAATCGTAGCCAAACCGGCTCGGGTTCGTCATGGGGGAGTTCATTAGGCCCATGTTGGAGAAGTCGTGCATCGGCGTCGGCTGGAGAGAGGCCGTGGGCAAGCGATGTGGCTAGGCGGCTGGCAACTTCTTCAGGAGAGAGCTTCGAATATGTCGACGTCGTCACAGACGAGACGGCCGTTGATCGTCGAGTTGGAGAAGGCGAACGTCTGCCATTTTTTGGTGTGGAACTGTAGAATGGCAGAGAGGGTGTAGATAGACCGGACATGTCTAGAAATGGTATTTAGCGCCAGCGGTGGAATCTGGCAGCCACCCTTCTCATCCCCACTCAGGCTGTACCCTCGTTATATTTTAGACAAAACGCAGAAGCGACATAGAGTGACTGGCAATGTGTCTGTTCCTCGTGCGGTGGTGGATTATATCTCTTTCGGCTCAGGGGTCCACCGCCGGCGTACAATTGGGAGTTGTGGTCAAATTAGCAGGCGGAGAGAGCCAATGAAACAGAATATCCTGTGAAAGGTATGGTTCGGCACTACTACCGTGTATCGGGTGCGTATATAGAGCGTGTTTCCGCGATATGGACTTGTTATACTCCTCGTTGTCGTCGCCTTTCCGTCTCGATGACCTTTGGAGCTGTTGACAACATTCAACTTTCAGATATTTAATATCGGCTTATGTAATGAGTTCTGGCCAAGCGCAAGACCCACTATTTACCCGTTTCGAGAAGCCTTCGGAATAAACTAAATCCGAGTCTAAATACAATATATTACCACTAGTAATTTATGTACTTCTGCCTAGCATTGTGACCACATCAATACGGCCACGTGACTATCCAGCCACCTGGTTTTTTTCTCCCTCTTCGGCGAAACTTTCGCCTTTTGGACCATCACAACGCGCTGCGACATCATCAGTGACAAAGAAACAACAACAACAGCAACATCGTCGCCGCCGACGGTAGAACTCGCTCCCACCGCATCAACTACTCGAGATAGCTGCCTGGCAATGCGATTTTGGATGATCCTGTGAAGCTTGGTTGCCTTGTTACCTTCGGCGCGCTGCCTGCCGACGCTTTTCTTGTGCTCAAATAGCACCGCGCCCATCGAAACTACGACTCCTCAATAGCTATCCTATGACCCTTGACGGATATTCGTACACCCACCACAACTCCCGTGCGCAATAATATACGGATATATCGCTATAATATATAGACTGGTCGCGGCATCCGATTGCCTGACACAGCACAATGTTCTATTCAGAGACGCTGCTGTCCAAAACGGGGCCGTTGGCCCGCGTCTGGCTGTCCGCCAACCTTGAACGAAAACTCTCGAAGTCTCATATTCTCCAGTCAGATATCGAAAGTAGTGTCAATGCTATCGTCGATCAGGGTCAAGCACCCATGGCGCTGCGTCTTAGCGGCCAGCTTCTGTTGGGAGTTGTGAGAATATACAGCCGCAAAACCAGGTATCTCCTGGACGACTGTAACGAAGCTTTGATGAAAATTAAAATGGTATGTCCTTACCTTGACATTTACTTCTTTAAAAGACACGTACGCTGATTACCTCTGTATAGGCTTTTCGCCTAACTAATAATAACGATCTTCCAACTGCTGCCCCACTGCCGGCTGGAGGAATTACTCTACCGGACGTATTAACGGAGTCGGATCTCTTTATGAATTTGGACCCTTCCATTCTATTCACGCAACCAGTGCAGGTAGAACAGGATCCAAAGAGACCCGCCTCGTCTCTCGGCTGGTCCAGCCAGTTACTCCCTGATAGCACCCCTCAAACAGTCAGACCTGTTGAAAACCCACATCTTGAAGATGATACCGGCTTAATTTTGGATCTCGGTGAAGACGAAGATATCCCGCTTGGCCATGACACAAGCATTGAAGTTGGTCGAGAGGCTCCAGCCCCACGCCCTGTCGGAGAAGATTTGTTCAGCGATGATAACCGTTTATATGATGGTGATCTCAATCTTGACCTTGGAGAGGACGGTGGCCCTCTTGGAAAGGCACCTGATGCGGACATTGCTCAGGACATTGACAATGCCATTCATATGGACGAGGACCTGCCAATGGGCGACATTGACGGTGAACTCGGCATGCCTATCGAAGAAGACTCGACCATTATCCCCCCGCTTACCAGTGACTTTACCCGTGCTAGGTCAGGCTCAGAACTTTCATCTGTGCGCTCTAGCGTGGTCCGTGATTTGGATGAAACATTTGCGAACGAAGGAGCCATTCGACATCATCAGAGAGTAAAACGAAGAAGAGTGATCATGCCAGACGCCGATACAGTCCTCTCTAGCGCCCAGATCAAAGAGCAACAGGAAGATAGATCAAGGATCTTGATAGCTGAATCAATTCTTCCCCGGGACCCTGTTCTGCTTAGCCTTATGATGATGCAGAAAAACGGATCCTTCGTTTCTAATGTCATGGGGGGCGCCGGCACCGGTAGCTGGGCACCAGAACTCCGTGGAATGCTGTCCATTGAATCTGTTAGAAAAGCAGGTGACTTGAAGAGGAAGCGAGACAGTGGCATTGCTGATATGGATATTGATTCTGGTGCCAAAGTTCCTCGACTTGATATTGAGGGAGAGGAAACACTATTACAACCTGATGACGGTCTAACCCTCGGAGAAGACACTACCTTGAACTTACAACCAGAAATTCATGTTCCTGAAGACGATGAGCAAGCCAACCCCCGCTCTAGAGATGACCATTTCAGCGAAGACGAGGGCCTTGGTCAACACCCAGAAGAATACGATGAACTTAGCAGCCTGGTTGAGACTGGCCCCATTTCTCTAGGAACGAAACACGCTGTTCATGTTCTACGAGAGCAGTTTGGTGAAGCCCCGACCACCGAATCACCAACAAAGGCCAAAGCTGTCGTTTTCCAAGATCTGCTTCCCGAACTTCAAACAAGCAAAGCTGATGCCACTAAGATGTTTTTCGAAGTCCTTGTCCTTGCAACGAAAGATGCTGTAAGAGTTGAGCAAAGCAGCAAAGACCTTGGAGGCCGGTTGCGGATCAAAGCAAAACAAGGCCTCTGGGGTGATTGGGCAGAAACCGAAGCCGGAGCCTAACCCATGGACTTAGGGGGTCCGGCCAGACGTAACCATAATATTTGACGGAATAGAGAGTAAACATTTGAGTCCATCTTCAATGTCGGGCGATATCATGTACAAAAGCATTTCCTGGAATAAATGAAGAGTACATGTTGGTGTTTTGTCATTTTATATCTTATTCTCCCTTCCTTGTTACTTCCTGGGTATTTGTCTGTTTGAACGTTCTGCTGCCATTTTGGAAACCTTCTTTTGGACAGATTCTACGAAGGCCCAGAACAGGCGTTTCGCGCCGCCTATGCGCGTACTGCCCCCAATCGGCGTATAGGAGTTATTTGAGCGGCAACGGCTAGGGTACGGAAGGGGGTTTCTTTGGGAGGCAGCTGAGAAACAGACACAGTCTTGGGAATCTTTGGCCGCGCGGTTGTGCTATGTTTTGTGATAACCACTTTGTATTGAGTAAATAGCAAGCATTTTAATATATTTGTTTCGACAATTCTTCGTCTTAGGATATCGTATTACCGATTTGTTTTTATGTTATGAGGCCACTTTTCTTCCGTATGCCGCTCCCGCCCCATCTTGGCCATCGCGTTCTATGGGGACTATTCCGCTGTGTTTCAGGTTTGCACCATCGTTGCCCTCCGATATCCTACCACTGGCCGTCGCTTCCTTGCCGAATGTCAGCCTTGAAACGTCCACTCCACCCAACCCCCGGATGAATATATTCCGGCGACGAGCATCTTGAGTTTTCGAGCGTCAACCCAAAGAAGGTTCAGCAAAGAGGCCATCCATCGCCACTCGTTGCTCATCAGTACGTGTCCGATGAAGCAGTCGATGCGCAAACAGGCTCGTATCGAAACATAGATCGACGTGAGGGACGCGCCGTGATGGGTCCCGGCTTTACAGGGAAGGAAAAGAGGGACATATCCTCCGCCTCTTTTCACACCTGCCGCCTCCTTTTCTTTCAAATATATCCTCTCATCACCCACCACTCGAAAGATATGATGGCCATCTATCTCTTTGTCTTTCCTTAAACCGCGAAATCTCGTTTCCAAGGGTGCTGGTCACTGCTACTCTCCTTCATGATTTCTTGATTTCTTGATTTATCTATATCCAAACGCACCTTCGTTTAGGAGCTGGACTCCCCATTGTATGAAAATCTAAGTACGATGTCTGGATTTTCAGCGATACGACCTTTGATGAAGCTTCATCCTCAATATATCCAGGAACTGGTATTTCGCTCATCCTGCACGATCTTTTCTCTTATTGCAGTGGGCTTTTTCGCCGGGTGTTTGCGTATTAACGACGACGTCCCTGTGCCGCCATCATCACCGGTGAAGGGAAGATGGAAAGACGGCATACCAATTTTGCCGGTACGGCGGTCATTCCTCCATTTCTCCATTATATTATTTCATGGTTACAGTATTGATAATTCTCTAGCTTGGAATTTCCATACTGTCCTCTATTTACATTGTATACTACACTATTTTACGAAGACATGCTCCCCACCTTGCAGTGCAGCTAGCACTCGACGTTACGGTTTTAATTGGGCTGGTTCCAACTATAACCTTGTCTGCCTTGAGCTCAGCATTTTTGCTCTGGACACCACTACCCCCTGATGTTCTTGACGTTGCCTGCAACCAAGAAAACAAGTTCACCAGGCCCTGTTTCCCGGAATTATATCGACTAGGCTCTCTAGAGTTAGCTGCTATCATTTTCTCTTGCGCATGGGGTACGTACAAATTATTTGGAATCATGTGTCAGGTTGCTCACAGTTCATTGTAGGCTATATCACCTATTTTTTACGCTTTATACAATATATTCTGTTCGTATTCAAGGGTGGAAAGTTGTTCACAAAAAGCGACGCCGCAGACATCGACATCACGGTACGAAAGAACGCATCTTTGTACGCCTCGATGATCCGGAGACCGAAAAAGACTATCTTTCTTCGTATCTCCAGATTGTTAATGAGGTATCATATCCGGCTGTAGCAGCTACAAAGGAAAATCGATTTTAGCCATTACGGCTGAGGTTGTGATGGCTTTGAGTCATTTCGCCCCTTCCTATGATTATGTGATGTTTCCAACCACTGAAAAGCCAGAATTTGTTTGATTATACCAACGACTACAAAATATGATGACCTGTATGAAAAATGAGCCCGTAACTGCAGATGAGCCACTCAACTACCATTATCTCGATTGTTTGATAGTCTCGATATCAACCTTAAAAACCATTCGTGGCACTCTTGACATTCAACAGAAATCTATTCCTGTATCTCAATAGAAGTCTTCCTTACTGACCCCATAAGAACAATACTTTCATATTAGGCCCATATGATAGGTATTTTTTTACTGTATAGTAGTTACTATAATAAAAATTATTAGATCAAGAATCATGTACCTAAAAGCTTTCAGTATTGAGCGGGTGCTATTCATTACCATAGCTTCAAATAATATACATCACCCTAAGAAGATTTTAGGTATCTGGTCGGTTACAGCCTCTAGTGAGAAATATTAGGTTAATACCAATCTATGACAATCCCAATTACTAGCGATGCTGAGATAAAATAATGGCATCGAAAAACTTGAGCCTCTTCAGTTAAACGCTGGCAAGTGGGGCAGCGCTAACTAACTAGTTAACTAGTTACCTAGTTAAAGCACCCACCCAAGAGTCCAAGACCCACAACCTAAAATCCTCCTCTTGAGATATTACAATATTGTTTTGCTGTTTGGAACATAATGTTCTTCTAAAATCCTAAAATATTGGTAATAACCGCTAGTAAGGCAGCCTAGATGCTATTTTTGGTAAAAAATGTGGCATATATGGAGTTAGGTTTTTTGGTTAACTGAAGGTTTGCTTTGGATCATGGATAGCCGACCCCTAATACGTTGTTGCCACAAACCGCAATATATAAAAATAACGGTCTACTCATCTTTAACTGCATAAGTACAATGGTTTAGAAGTACCTTGCACTGGGAAACTACTTGTTTTCTTGCTAAAGTACTTGTTCTTTCAACCAACGACCTGACCAAGTATGACGTTACTGTATAGTTACAATGACATCATAGGATTCTTCCGCTGAGATCCTGATATATAAATGCCACATACATCCAAACCACATCGTAAAATAAGTCTATTACTTATTCTACAATCTTACCTATATCATCTTGCCTTTAAATATTCTATTGCAATAGGCATACAAATTCTCATCATGTCAGGTCCAACGGAGCCGAAGAATTCAGGGGTTCTGAACCAAGAAGGGGTTATCTCAAGGCCTGAAGGCACAGATTCTGAGCCGAAACCTGTCACCGAAACCATATCCAAAACAGAGAAAAATGACTCTATGGCTGGTAGAGTTCATCATGGACACAGCGAAATGTCTCAATTTCAACCATTCACGAGCCTTACAGACCAGAAGAAAGCGGGAGAGAGGGAGTATGGCTATGACCAGGGGCATCCGGTTCCAGAGAATCGGTATAACGAGGATCACAGTTTTATGGAGAGGAAGCCTGGAAAAAAGTCATACTTTAGCGAACTCATGGAGAAGTATGCGTAAAACCCTTTCTATGGTTCCTGTTTCCTGTTCTTTAACTAACCAATCTCTTTTGAACCTTTAGTTTCCGCTATGGCTAACTGGCTCCGCTCTCTGAATAAAATGCAAATTCTCGAGAGAAATGGGAAAATAAGATACTCTGTAGCATTTCTGAGGCCCATATGGAGTTTAAGGGCAAGTTGTATTTATATATATAAACCCCGGTTTACTAAAGGGCAAACTGAGAAGATATTGGAATATGGGATGACTTATCCCCAAGACCTTATAGTGTTTATTTGAACTTTTCATGCTCATTGTTTGCCTGGAAATTTGAAGGCTATATATTGGCCAGTTCGTCAAAATGTATGGTTACTAATTATCAGCGCGAAGCTGTTTTGACTTCGTCAGAGTTTTGTCGTTCGATAATACCAAGAAGCCCTGTTAATCGGGGTTAAGTATTGCGAAAATTTATAGAATAGTCAACCATTATAGTTGTGAAAAGTGTGAAACACAATGCCCATATTAACTAACAGATGAAACTTACATGTTACCATGTGACAGCCTGTCGTTGATTCTCTTATTCTGAAACGTGATTCTAACCCGTGGATCTGGGCTATAAGACCCAAAGGTCAAAGTGCGAAGCGACGTTGTACAAAGTCAAGTCGGCTGATAATGCGCACCTTGAATTGGGTCAACTCCGAGCAAAGCAATAAATTTTTAAAAGCAAGGGCCAGATCTCCAGGCAGTGCACACGCTTAGAGGTGGCTTTACGGCCTCAGCCTTGATATAAAAACATATATCAGCCTCTGAATGAATTACACAAAGATGTCTCCACCAATGAGCATATAAAACTCAAGTTTGAGAATCCAGGAAATTCAGGTCTATCCAAAAAACCGACTGCCTAGATGGGCTCCTGGCAATGGTGAGGGGATGCCTGGCCGCAGCCTCAAAACATCCAGATCCTTTACCTGACGGTCCATGTCAGCTGCAAGAAAATCCCTGGAGAGCGATGAATCTCAAGCTTTCCGGCCGTTTCCTAAAAAATAACGCCCTGGAACCCATTTTCAATCCTGGGGAACCTACAAAGGGGAATCCGGGAAAGCCCGAAAGAGACATGAAAAGCCTTCCCTTGGAAATTCTTATGTCTTTGGGTTTTT